TTCCAGTTTGGTAAACTCATTTTTAAAACAATATCTAAAAAAATTTATCTGAAAATTCTGCCAGCTCTTCTCAAATTACTTCTTCAGAGCTCTAACTTGACTCAGTAGATTATTGATATTTGTAGATTGTAGATATTTCTGCCATGTTTCCTTTTAAAGCATGTACATAAGACAAAGTGGAGGTCACATCTTGAAAACAGTGGCAGAATGAAAGTGCTAAACAAGGTAGCTTCAATGTAGAATCATAGAATAGAATACTGGAAACATTTAGGTTGGAAAAGACCTTTAAGATCATCGAGTCCAACCGTAAACCTAACACTGACAAGTCCACCTCTAAACTATGTCCCTAAGCACCACTTCTACACACCTTTTAAATACCTCCAGGAGTGGTGACTCAACCACTTCCCTGGGCAGCCTGTTTCAGTGCTTGACAACCCTTTCGATGAAGAAATTTTTCCTAACATCCAACCTAAACCTCCCCTGGTGCCACTTGAGGCCGTTTCCTCTCATCCTATCGCTTGTTACCTGGGAGAAGAGACCAACCCCCACCTCGCTACAACCTCCTTTCATGTAGTTGTAGAGAGCAATAAGGTCTCCCCTCAGCCATCTTTTCTCCAGGCTAAACAACCCCAGTTCCCTCAGCCGCTCCTCATAAGACTTGTGCTTTAGACCCTTCACCGGCTTTGTTGCCCGTCTCCGGACACACTCCAGCACCTCAACGTCTGTCTTGTAGTGAGGGGCCCATATTCAGCTGGCTGTTGACCAATACATCGTCCTTTTCCACCAGGCAACTTTGCAGCCACTCTTCCCCAAGCCTGTAGCATTGCATGGGGTTGTTGTGACCCAAGTGCAGGACCCGGCACGTGGCCTTGTTGAACCTCATACAGTTATCCTCAGCTCATTGATCCAGCCTGTCCAGATCCCTCTGTAGAGCCTTCCTACCCCCAAGCAGATCAACACTCCCGCCCAACTTGGTGTTGTCTGCAAACTTACTGAGGGTGCCCTCGATCTCCTTGTCCAAAGCATTGATAAAGATATTAAACAGAACTGGCCCCAGTACTGAGCCCTGAGGAACACCACTTGTGACCAACCGCCAGCTGGATTTAACTCCATTCACCACAACTCTCTCGGCTTGGCCATCCAGCCAGTTTTTTACCCAGCAAAGAGTGCACCCATCCAAGCCATGAGCAGCCAGCTTCTTTAGGAGAATGCTGTGGGAAACATTGTCAAAGTCTTCGCTAAAGTCCAGGAAAACAACACTCACAATATTCTGCTCTGAGCCTGAGATTTCATATTAAGTATTTTTATTTTGAAAGAGATTACCTGCAAATGAAATGGAGAAAGCTCTGAATGAATGCAGCTATTATGGATGAAATAATGGAAAGATCTGGACATGTTTTGCTCATTCTGCCCTCTTCCCCATCCTCCAGCGCAGGATGAGTGAAAGAAAAAAGCTTTCCAACATTTCCAAAGGGAAAAGATGACTTCTCCATTCAAGACTTGGGTGATAAGAGAGAGAGTCGTGCTTTACTGTCAGCCTTGACAGACAGTAGGATAAAATAAGATGGTGGCTCTTTCACTGAAAGGCTAGGATGCCAGAGCTGGAGTTGAGTCAGACTGAAAAGGAAGACTAGACAAAAAAATGGATATTTGAAATGAAAATGTGTATTATTTTGTCAAACAAAATAGCGCTTGGGAGCACTCCATTTTCCAGAGTACTTCAAGTCTGTGCCTTCCAGGTGCTGTTCCTGGTCTCTGCACCTTCTCATACATGTACCCGGATTCAGCCTTGCTTACTTGTGTATGGGGAAGGAGAGGAAGAAAGTCAGAGTTGCTGCCCAGCCAGCCAGTTCACTACTGTTGCATGTATACAGGGTGTTCTAGTTGTTTATCCTTGTCTGTGGGCTGAAAATAAATACCGGTCTTTGGCATGTTAAACAGTAAAATAGGTCCTGTCCTTTTTAAAGTTTAAAAAAATAAAAATCCGTACTTTGATGTTTATTTATACCATGATCTGTATGACAGAATTGATTTTTTTTAAATACAAATTAAAATTTATATTGAAAAACAGTTGTATTTCAAATTGAAGCTGTAAAAATAGTCATATAGTGGAGGCTGAATGGTCAAGCCTATCTATTTTGTATCTGATCAACTTTTCTGTTGTAATTGTTCATCCTGTATTTCAGCTTTACTTGTCTGTTACACAAATCTCAGCCCACTGTGTATTAGTCATGTGTAGCTACATTGTAAATGGACTGAAGTGTGCTCAGATTTTAATCCTAGTCAGCAAAATCTATATATGTGATATGTGCTGCATGCACCTCAAGAACAGCAGCTTTACAAAACATCTGCCTGCTTCTAGAGGATTTTTCTAGTTTGCCCAATTTTCTCATTAATTTTGCTTAATTGATTTGTCTGGAAAACCTGAATACCCTGCAATATTTGGAAATCCCACAGCGGTACATCATAGAACTGTCTTTGCCAGAAGGATTTGGTTAATGTCATAGTAGAGTGACACTGGAAGCTGAGCTGACCCTAACACTTGGACAGGAAACAGGGCCAACCTTTAGCACTCAGATTTGCATGCAACACTGCTGTACATGGTTGGTTTGTTTCCCTAGAAACAAAGTGCCCTGTAGTATCAGTCAGATAGGAGGTAGCATGTTACTGTAGCAAAACAACAGGTTAAATTCTGGATTACAAAGCTGAAAATGTAGTTAGAGACTAAAAGCATAAATAATAAGGAAATGCGAATGTGAAATGCACCATCATGTATCTCTGGTACTTGTCACCAAGAGATAGTTTGGGTTTTTTGTAAAGCATCTCTGAAGTTTTTGAAGCCATGGAGCCTTAAGCTCCAGCAAACGGCTTCAAGGATGTCTTACATCTATGAATTACTTGGTAGATGCTGGTATGCTTTAGTCTTGGTTTAACTACTTTTTGCCTGTGGAGTATGATTTATCCTTTAAAGAGTAGAAAGGACTCTTTCACTGAAACCTAGCTTGCTTTTTAAAAGGAATTCAGTTTCTCAAAACAATGTATGCTGTAATACTGTGCATAATGTTTGACTCTGGCAGTTTTAGTTGTCTTTTGGTTTAACTAGCATTTAGACACACCTTATGACATGTTAATAAGCTCTTAAAATTTTGGAGGTGGTTATGTCATCCTATGTTCAAGTATTGTTCTCTGTAAACAATGAAAATACAGTACAATAGCAATTGATAGTTATTAGGCTTGACTCATGTTTCAGTGAATTCTCTGGCCTCATGAATTTTTAGATTAATGTGGAAATTGAGAGAACTAAAAACATCCTGGATCTTTGCTCTGAGGTTCGACTTTTTTAGAACTCTCAAGTATGATATAATGTAAACTCTCCTAGTGTGTGTGCTAGAGAGGAGCTGCATATTTGTAATTTTCTGTGAATCTTTTTGTAATGGTTTATCTTCTTTGTTCACTGTTGATGTCTTGTTAATTCTTGTGTTTGGATTCTGTGTTCTGTGGCTACAAAATGGCATAATTGGTAGCAAGTGGGTAAGAGTACAGACTTATTTTGATGAAAACAGAACATTCTGGAATCTGGAGTTTTTATTCAGGTGAGTGAAGGTTTTCAGAATATTTATTTCAACGGAGAGGAGCTTCCCTCCGAATGTCTGCTTCTGGGGGGATGTGATGGGCTGAGAAGGAGCGTAGTGCTGGCTGGATGTGCTGGCAGCTGGAACACTCCATGGGGCTGGCTCTGCTGTGCCTGCCAGAACGGAGAGCACAGTGGGGCTTTTTGAATTGCTGTTCAAAATGTTTCCCTGTGGGAATGTTACAGGATGGGATTAATGGGATTAATTCTAGTTTTCGCTTGCTGCTTGAGGTGTAAGAGGAGGCAGTTCCTCATTCTTGAGAAGTATAAGTACAGAATATATTGTTGACTGGAAGTCCTTAGACCATCTAGGACATTTTCCCATAAGCTGCTATGGTAATGTTAACATCAGGTTAAGAGAGCACTTGAGGCATGTCATCTTTTCAGAGAGAGAGCTGAGAGACACTTGACTGCCCAAGAGGAGGTACAACAGTGCATGTGGTGTTTGTTCCTCTCATCTGCTTCCTGTATAATGCTTCCTCTTGTTCAAAAGCAGTATAGCATTTCCTCAGGAAACTCTTTCCAGAATTTTCAGCTTCTAAACATTTCAAGTGGCAAACTAAAAGTATTTCTCTGAAAAGTAAATACCCTCATGTATTTTCTTTTATGAATAATCTTTTTTCATATCAGGCTTGTCTAACTGTGTAGTATAATTATGCTACCGCCTTTTGGAATAATATGTAGAATAGCTGTAACAAATGCACGTGTGTTTAGGGGAGTTATACTGTATGGCAGGCATTGGTTATTAATTTGCATTCTGCAGGAGAACTTGTTTTATTCAGAGCTCTTGGAAAATGTTCATGGAAACTTTTAGGGAATTAGGACAGCTGGTCTAGCAGACTTTGAAGTCTGCAACACAGCCGGCTGGCCAGCATTCCCAGTGCCAACTGGCTCAGCAGCAAGTAGAGATGGCAAATGTGATTTTGGCTTAGGAAATCCTGTATGTAGAAGATGACTTGATGACAGGCAAGACTCAATAAAACTGGTGACATAATTGAACTCTGTTAACCAGTGTTTGGTCAGTTGGGATTAAACATCCCCCTACGTTTTCAATTAAAATTCATTATTTTGTTTCTGGATTTTTTTTCTTCAATGCAAGAACTTAGTATCTTCCTTGCGTTTAGTATCTTCTTTTGGAATATCTGTCAGGACATTATTTTAACAGATGACTGAATTAAATTTCAGCTACTGTATGTCATTGCTGATCTTCTAGTCATTGTCAAATTTCAAACGAAATGTCATCTGGAAGTAAGTCATATGCAAAGGTACAAGAGTTTGGCTTTGCATCTGTCAGCAGACTTTGTGAATAATCAGATTTCCTGAGAGGCTGTGGATTTCTCACTTCATTGACTGATTCTTTGCCTTATAGTACAAAAATAGAGAAGGAGAAAAAAGAGCATGCTAAGCTGCATGGGATGATCCGTACAGAAATAAGTGGAGCTGAAATTGCGGAAGAAATGGAGAAAGAAAGAAGGTTCTTCCAGTTACAGATGTGTGAGGTAAGACTTAACGTGAAATTCATATTGTTTTGCTAATATTTTTAGGAAAATTTTGTAAACCAAAATTATTTAATGGCAACTGTGATGTTAAAGGGAAATGCTAAGTTATTAGTGGACTCCATTTGCTAAAGCACTTTTTTATTATCCTGATGTGCTAACTCTGCAGGGAATTTAGATCTAATTTCACTTAGCAAGTAAGTTGTAGAAAAAATAAATAATGCAAAGCTCATTTAAAGACTGAGAGATGATAATAAGTAAGCCTTTACACTCCTACTTCACTGTAAGTTATTTTAAGCCCTAGATCATACTCTGAATTGTTCCCTACACTGACAGCTGTTGCGTTATTATGAGGAGAGACTCGAGTCTAAGCACACTGTTGGGCTGGTGCTGAAAAAAAAAGTGCTAAGGATGGAATCCAGTTGTCTTTCAAGATGTTTCAGAATGTTTCTAATTAGAAATCTTTGTGATTTTGCAGTATATTAAATCTGATGGGAATATTTTTGGTTCAGTTCGTTTAAGGGCATGTCAGGTTCCGTGGTTTGGAATTCAAGTTGCTGTGTTCGTTCTTTCTATGCATTGACTCAAAATACACCACGGGTGTTTCTTCTGTTTTTACTATGATGATTATGCCTACGTAGCTTACTCATATGCCTACATAGCTTAATAGCAGTTGTCCAGAATACCACTTTTAGTAACTGCATGCACTGGTATTTAGTAGGAAAGCTTCACATTCCTGTACAGAGTCAGACTAAAGTATTCAAAACCGATGAAGGGATTTGAGTACCCAATAAACGTATGGATGTTGCCAGCTAATTGCCCATCTGTATCCTTCCTAAAAAACAACAGGAACAGATGCTTCTCTCTTCCTGTGTCACAGCATAGGAGGAGTTCACTTTAGTCAGTTGTAGTGATAGTAAAATGCAGGGTGAAGTCTGTGAAATTGAATCAAGTTACCTTAAATGTGGAATAGCTGAAGTGTATCCTGTATTCTTCTGATTTGGGGGAAAAGAAGTTTAAACTCAGTTACCTCTGAATAGTCTTAAAAGGGGACTTTGTTTTGATTTTGTTAGTAAATCAGAAGTGTGACATATTGAAGTTGTATCATAAGTACAAGCTAGTTCTCTAAAAATTGTGAAAGTTAACTGAATACCAGATGCCTAGAGCTACATTTTAAATTAACAGGAGTTAGAGAGGTCATTCTTCTAATTGAATATTATCCAGTGCACATGTCTACATTTAGGCTAATCATCTGTTCACCTGAACCAGTGTAAAAAGCTGCAACATCGAAAACTGGCACGTGGATACTACCTTATTTCAGTGGGTTTAAAACATTCAGGGTGTACCGCGGGTAGGGGAAAACCAGATGCATTAGAGCATTGCTGAGAAGATGTTCATTCCTTTGCTTGGAGGTCACTGTCTAAGCAGGGGTTAAAAATTGTCATTTGATGGACAGTTGAAGACTCCTGTAAATATTTGGTCAGCCTCTAACTTCTGCTTGCATGACTGACATCTTTCATGCTATGGCATTCAGGGGAGGAGCTGTCACTTAATGTGGACTTTGACTGTGCCTTATGCAAAAGGACACTAATTACACTTTTTTTTTTAGCTTGACAGTAAATTTTAAAAATCTCTTGCTAAACTGTAATTTGCTGTAATTACTGTGTATAAGGAATTGATAGAGGTAATGATAAAATCAGAAGGCAGATTTTAAAAATGCTTAAAATAATCCCTCACTTTTTTTGAGTAAACTGCTTTCTTCCTCAATGACATCTATTTAGCAATGAATTTAACAACTAGTGAGACAGATACCTAGATGGGCTGCTAGGTTTAAGAATGAGTTCCTAAATTTACTACACAACCTCTTTTATGCTTATTTTAACACAGGCTTCCACTAGGAGCTATGAAGGCTGTTTTGACAATTTGAACTAATCATAGTGTAGTATCCCCACAGGGTATCAAGAATCAGTGGTGACAACAATTGCTTTTGTGTGATGAACCCTTGAAGACATTGTTTGATGCGTTCTCTTTTGGGTCTTCTAAGGCTGCAGCTGTTAAAGCTTGTTGAAATATAGCTGAAAATAAAATGTTAAAAAAATACTGTAGCAGTAATAATTAGTTTCTTTTGTGAATTACTGTTTTAACAGTACCTGCTGAAAGTCAATGAAATCAAGATTAAAAAAGGAGTGGACTTGCTTCAGAACTTGATCAAGTATTTTCATGCTCAGTGCAAGTATGTTTTAGTTTTTTTTATATCTACACAATAACTGGAGCAGTATTTTGTTTTAAACATTTGACATCATCATAACACTTTTTAAAATTTTTCAAAATAAATGTAAGATTCAGCTGTTCTTGCTGATGTCTTTTGACAAATTGCTTTTGTCATGGATTAGTCATTGCTTTTGTACTGTATTCCAAAACATGTAATGAGGTTGAGCTAGTACCATAGAATATAATTGTCTGTTCCAAAGGAGTGACGCACAATAATTTGGCATATTTCATAAACTACTCTTGAAACAGAGCTATTAGTTTGGTCTATTAGTTAGTGGTCCATTAGTTTTGATGGGCTTTTTTGAGTGTATCTAGCAATGATATATATCAATTCTGTGCTCATGAAAAATAAATTGCATAAGCAGTGGAATAAAACTATATTGAAAGAATCTTTTTTTTCTAATTAATTGGAGGACTCAATAATAAAACATGAAGCTCTCATTAGAATTATGTACTTTTTTTATGGTAGTCTTACGGATCAATAATATAGCAGTAAAGTCATACCTATAAACTTGAAAAAGCTGCTGTTAACCTGTTAAAACAGTAAGTTTTCATCTTAAAAGACCAGTCTGCATCTATGTAGGTTTTTTCCTTATATAGCTATGTCACTTTTAAAATCAGATTCACCATCTGCTCTGTCCATTTAATAAAGCTTCAACAACATAAATGCTGTGTTGTGTTGTCACTTTCACGTCTGCTTCCCAGAGTGAAAATATTTCTGTTGCAAATGGTGCAGCAATTTTTAATCAAATGTGTGTGTAGTTGTGGTTTCTTTAAATTTATTTTTCAAATCTCACTCTTTTTTTTTTAAGACCTGGAATACTTGGCATAGATTACATTACTGTGCCAATACAAAAATACATATGATACTGTAATATGTCTCCTATTCAGTTTGCATATAGGCCATAATTAATGCTTGGGAAACAAAGGGGTTTTCCTTTAGTAAGACAATTGCATCAGATATTAAATTATTGGGCTCCAAGAAGTCACAATTATTCTGCATCTGCTAGAGCTTTTTTGCTGTTCTACAGATGAATCTTGCTTGTTATGGGCCTTCAAAAAGTGGGATGAGAACCTGTGTTTAAGGTGAGAATGAGGAAAACTTATGTGGCAGTGGATTGTGGCAGTTCTGAATCTAATTGGGGATTTTGCATGTTAGAATAAGCTATGGTGGGAATAAAGAGGTGGATCTGTCAAAGATGCATAAAAAATGTTTAATGTTTTGAAATTTATGGCATGGCATAATAATATGCACACCTTCCTTTGGCAATGTTTTAAATAGAGAATGCAAAGTAAAATTTAATAACAGTTTGCTTTTTGTTTTTAAGTTTCTTTCAGGATGGGTTAAAAGCAGTTGAAAGTCTCAAGCCTTCAATTGAGACACTATCCACAGATCTTTATACAGTGAGTAGCAACCTTTCACATTTGTGTTGTAAACAGTTTTTTATAGTAGAACTGTGATCATTTTGGTTCAGGTTGGCTGACTGTTTTAATAGTCAGCATTTTAAGGTTTTGAGTAGATTTTTGAGTAAAATTTTGGTTTAATATCATATCCAGAAGCCTTAGTTTTAGTTCAGGACCCCACTGTGTAAAATGTTAGGAAAACAGCCTTTGCTCTAAAATGTGTACTAAGTGGAAAATAACGTGGTTTCAAATTGAACACAAGGAAGTGAGAACAGTGTGAGGCAGTATCAAAGTCTTAAGCCAGCAACATCCTAGCCATTATCAAGTTTTCTGAACATATAAAGGAAAATAAACTGATCACATTATCTTTTCTCTTTGTGTTTTCATTCTTGCTGAACATTTCTCAGAAAAAATGAACCAATTCAGTAGCAAGTTTGGAAGAACTGTGTTGAAAAGAAACAATAATGTTATTTTTAACCTGTGTTTTTCTTCATTCAAGATTAAACAAGCACAAGATGAGGAAAGACGACAATTAACCCAGCTTAGAGATATTTTAAAATCAGCACTTCAGGTTGATCAGAAAGAGGTGAGCATATAAGGTGGTTTCACTTTGGAATACCCATTTTAATTACTTCTAATGTAATGTTAGTAGTTGAAATAGAGTTGTTTTAACTTTGATCAGCCATCTAATTTCTTTCATTTATTCATATTTGTTTTGATGCTGATACTGTCAATGTTTCTGACAAAGGCTTTTTTTTTTTTTAAACGAATTCCCACTAAAAATATGAGACTTACTGCAAAATAATTGCAATATTGGTAACAAAAAGAAAAATACTTAAGATGGTGCACTGTATGTGAACTAATAGACACTGGAGTCTATGTTGCTCAAACTGAGAATGGAAGAACTTTGTCAGTATCAAGGAGACTCCATTAGTACAGTCTTATCTCAGAATAATATTCCAAACTATATAAAGATTATGTAAAACTGAACTTCAAATCCCGAAACACCTCTTGTCATCCTCTGCAAATATGACAATTAAGTTTGCTACTCTGCTGCAAGATGCCAGTTTTCAAACATGTAACAGCTGGGTCAGTTCAGCAATCTAACAAGTATTTTTTGAGTTTCGGTTATGATTGCTGTTAGATTCAAAGAATTCCAGAGTAGTTTTATTTGGCAAACTATGATCTGGAAGCAAGCATCTTTTGTATAATCTAATCCTAAATATTGGGTCTACTTTTGTTTCAGATTGCTAGTGCTTCCTCTTCATATAAATAAATGCCAGCTAGCTTCCTTTGTGTGGTTGCAGGGCCATGCATAAGTGATGAATGAGCCTCTTCCCCCCCTTTTCAGATTCTGTTTCTGAGAGGGATCACAGTGAAATAGTTTAGTCTGTAGAGCTCAGACTTCCTTGATCTTTTCCAGTCTTGCTTTCACCTTCCCATAAAGGTTGTGGTGACTCCTACTCTTACTGGTGGCCAGATGATGGTTGTTGAGCAATCTAATCTAGTGAAACACGTCCCTGCCCATGGCCCAGGGATTGGACTAGATGATCTTTAAAGGTCCCTTCCAACCCAGACTATTCTGTTATTCTATGACTTGCTGATAGGCATTTGAACAGTCTTAAACACTCTTCACTTTGAGGTGCTGTTTGTTACCATGTGAAGTTTGTGATAATGACCATTGTGTACAAAGTCCATACAGTTTGCAGGCACTTTCTTAGGTTCTGCCTGGCATTTAGGACTCACTGAGGGGTGCATTTGCTAAAAACTTCCAAATTTGAGCTCTGTGGAATGAAAGCCTAGTGATCCTCGTGGAAATGGTGACTACTTGGGATTCACCATTGATTGTCCACTCTCAGTAAGGAGTCTTTGCTGTTTAGGGTGTGTTAGCAGGCTTCCTATTTTATTTGGGTCTTTGTTTAAGAGAGGTAATAGAAGCAGTTGGGTTTCATGGTTGCTGGGAGTGTTGCTTCTCTATGTTTACCTGGTTATCACTGATACTGGTATTAAATGTATATGGAAAATGTGGTGAGCACACATCTTTTCACAGACTGAAAAATGTAATAATACACATAAATTTATTATTTGTACTGGTTTTGTTGCATTTAAAAATAAGTGTAAAAAGTGCTTTATGCTATATTCATTATTTATTTATTCTGCAAATTTAGATATAGATGCTTACCTACAGAGAATGAGAAGTACTATAATTATTTTTAAAGTTTTTTGAAAACATCAATTAATCAGTGGGATGCCAAACAATCCTGGTATAATTTACTGTACGACCCACTAATATTATTCTTGTTGCACTGTAATTTCTTTTACTATAACTGATTTCTTTTTCCTTCCTGAAACGCATTTACATTTTGTGACCGAAGTCTAGGAGAGTAAGTGTTACTATGTTTTAATTAAAATAGTTGGCATGATTTCCATTCAGATTTCAAGAAACTGGATTTTTTCCTCTGAGTTTTTTTCTGTTGGTATGAAAAGACTGGTTCTTTTTTTCTCCTCTTCTGTTTTTTGTGTTACAAAAAAAAAAAAAAGAGTTTTTCTTGGGAAAGAAAATTGTTGTAAGACAAATTGGTGATTTCCTTTTCACTCTCTTTTGGGAACTAAATCCAGTTGCTTGATTTGCAAGATTTTGGAGATACATGTATTTTCAATTAAAATGGACTTCATGTATGAAATAATAGAACGTTGACAAATACTGTTTCTGTTATATTAAAAAAAAAAAAAGGACAGAAACACTCATGGTGAACCTTTTTTGTTGTGCCTGTGTACGTAGTTTCCTCCTGCACAGAACTTCCTCAAACCTGGTTTGTATTGAAACTTCTTTTTGAAATGTCATTGTGTGTACACCTCCATAATTTTTAATATTTAAACTTCTATTTTTCAAACTGTAGAGCTCCTACAAGTTTCAGGGTCAACCTTAGAGTCATATTGCCTTCATTTCTCTCTTTCCTGTGTCCTCTCTGAAGGTAGCCTTACTGTCGTGTTGAGATTTGCTTCTGCTGCTTCTACATGTTTGGGAGAACCTGTAGTCTATTTAGGCCACTGGAAAATAGGATAAATTTTGTGTTTCTTGGCAAAAATTACGGTGGCTGTGCTATAGGAGAGGCTGCCTGCAGGGGGTTCTGGCAGATATATCTGTTGGAGGCTTTGTGGGGCTGTAATAGATAAGAGATGGACCTCTGAAACATCCTTTTGGCAATGATCCTGCAAATGCAAGAGAAGCTCAGGCTCTTGGAGAGCTCTAAGTGCTTTTTGGCAGCTTTACACACAGGTGTGATCCAGACAGTCTAAAATCCTGCTCCATGGGAGCTGTGGAATGGCTAGCTAAAATTTGCTGTGTATAAGTTAAGGCATCTTGTATGGAAAGTTCTGTTGTGTTCAAATAGTGGGGCTGATAAATAGGTTTTTAGAATCTCTCTTATCAGTAGTCACAGACCATCTTTACAGAATACTGTTTTCACATTTCTTTCACTTTTAGCTATGCTATTCAGCTTGATTTAGAAGTCAGTCGGTCTTTATAAGGCTTTGGAAGAGATCATTTCAAGCCTCTTTACAGTCAGTGAGGTGATTCACTATAAACATGCTGCAATGAAATGACTTGCTTTTTTTTTTTTTTTTGTATGCCTATCTGCATTTCAAAGCTGATAAAGTGGACAAAGTTCAGTTTCTTAGGCTTGTGTACTTCAGTCTTGTCTGATCTTGTTACTTTCAAGAGATATTTAAAATTACAATACTCTGTGCTAGGTATGTCCTATACCCTGCAGTGATCTATTTCCTCCCATAGGTAATGTACATTGTTCCTGCTCCTCTGATGAGGCCACTGGGTCTGACACTGTTATCTGTGATTTGTACTCCTGTTATGTGCAATATTCAAACCAGAAATAAGGGAAGATCCTTTAGGGAGCCTGCATATGGAAAAGGCATGCTGAAATTGCCTGGAAGGATGTTAATTGTAATAGTGATTTGCGGTATGGCATCCTGTCTGTTAGGAGCTAGATCAAAATCATGAACTTGTTTGTCAAAGAGTTGTGGAAATCCATCATCTGGCAATTATGTTGGACACTATTGATTTTGACATGGCCTGAATCAAGGATTTAAAATTGAAAATCTCCTTGTCTTATCCTTAAGTTCTTTTCATGAAATAGTATTACGTTTTTTAAAGATACTGCTCATAGTAGTGAATGTGTGGAAATACACGTCAGCTACAGCAGCTTCCTCTCTGGTTGAAATGAGGCAGGAAGCTTGTATTATTGGCTTGCCAGTTTGGCCAAACACAGCAGCTGAGCGTAAAAAACAGCTGAAGGGAGGTAGCTGAAATGCAGCAGAAAATAATGCACAAAAAGTACCAGCAGTCTTAAGTAATGGGAATGGTCTTATGGGCAGGTGCTGCAGGTCATCTGAAATCTTTATGTAATTCAGGATGTGGAGAACTGAAATTAATTTCCTGTAAGGCCTCTAATCTTCTTGGGAATGGAGTTACTTTACTGACTAATGGGAGGCAGAGATCAAGGCATTAGTAAGACACAACAGGCAATGTCAGATCAGATTTTCTTCAGAAGTCAGTAAATGTATGCATGCAGTGGTTCTTAATGAGTGTCGAGAATTTTTGTAAATGTTGTTCTGTTCTTATGTTGGGCAGCCAGAGTACAAACCCAAATAATTCTGTCTAAACAGGCTGCAGAGGAACAGTAAACAGACTGGTTTAAATCTAAAGGGATGCTTTGTCAGGCACTGACATTTAAGTGGTGGTTATATAGTGCCTTTAAAAACCTCAGATCAATGTTGTAGCTACCTGATACAGGTTTCTAGATCACTAGCTGACAGGCAGGGAAGTGGGCACAGGTTGCTCCTGCTGAAAACGAGCACCAAGCAGTGCTGCAGCCTGCCTAGAGCTCGGCTCATGGTTCTCGGGACCACTGAGCTCCAGTGCTGTATTCAGGATGAGCCTGAAATCCTGCAGCTTGGAGGTGTGGAGTCCCAAGTGCACTGAAGAGGGGTGTAGGTGGTAGCTCTGTCCCTACCATCATATTTTGGGCATGTTGTGTTGTCACTACTGTTGAGGAGGATCCTGAACACCTTTGGCTGCATTAGTAGCTTTGGTAGCAGAATGTACTGCTGGAGCTTGTAAAGGAGCAACATTGCATCTGAGCTGGCATTCTGTGGGGAAAAGGACAGTCCAAGTGTGTTCTTGGTTCTAGCTGGTCTCTCCCCCTTGCTTTTATTCAGAGATGTCCTATACTTAGGCTAATAAAGTGTATGAAGCTAACTGTAGTTAGAGAGAAACTATCTTCTTAATTCATACTTTTTAGATCACTGTATATTCTATTTTATCATGTGTGCACTCTGAAAACCCCAAATGATATATCATGTGATTGTACTCCCAGTATATCTGAGACACACTATCTCTTTAGCAAAAGAGATTTTTTTTTATCAAATTAGTAAGTTTATTTCTTAATAGGTCTTAGGTTTTTGCTTAGAATAGCTCAGATAGTCTTTTAAGTGAGCTGCTTTCTTTGTGTCTTTTTTCCTTGCTATGCTTGTATTATCTGCCATATATAACAGAGGTGTATTATGTTCATAGAGCAAAGATAGTAGAAAAGAAAACAATAACTATTATAAGTACCAGTCATTGTTATTGTAGGCACTGCAAAGTCCATCCCATCATGTTACTTCTGCTAATATAGCATGATACATCAGATTCCTCATTATCAGGTTCTTATTTTTTAAGAAGTTGGACTCTGGCAACAGTGGGTCCTGCCTCTGGGTAGTTCTGAGAGCAGTGAGAAGGTTAGTTAATCCTTGTCACTTCCTGTCCCAGAATTCTACTTTGTTCAAGATATTTTGGTTTAAATTCTTCTTCTTATGAAAATAACTTCTCGATTTTCCTGTATGCCTCCTGAACTATGTTTCCAGGAGGTCTCTGCTGCTTTTCAGACAATAACTTGACTCAGTTTCCACAAGAAAGACCACTTCTTCAAATTTATGTATGTAATCTTTTTACAATGGAAGGGTGCCCTAGGAATTGCAGGTGGTAATAATCTTCAGTGTTTGTACACTGCAGTGTTTGCATGAGTTGGAAAGCCCACTGCTCAATTAAATTTTGGGTTAAAAACCCCATATATTAAGGCCAATAGCAAAGCTAAAATAAAAGCAAGTAAGAGGATTTTGGCAGGTGCTGATAATGGCTACTTCTCAAATGGTTTTTTTGCACTCTGAAAAAAGAAATGGATCTTGCTCTCTCTCACTGAGGAGGAAAAATGTGCTTTGTTTGGCCTGTAGGATTAGACCAGGAGGGAAAGGCTCTGAAACTCATTAATAGGGGGGATATTTTGGTTGAAATGGTGGAATGCATTGCAAATTGCTGTTCTGTATATTTCAGGATTCTCAGATTCGTCAGAGTACAGCTTACAGTTTACATCAGCCTCAGGGAAACAAGGAACATGGCACTGAACGAAATGGTAGTCTGTACAAGAAAAGTGATGGGTAAGTACTGCTGGATTCTACTGAAAAAAAAAATTAGGTCCTAAGAGCTGAAGTGATGTAATACTAAATGTATTAAAAACTGAGTCACCTTTTTTTTTTTTTTCTTCCCCCCCTTTAAACCAGAATCAGAAAAGTGTGGCAGAAAAGGAAGTGCTCGGTTAAAAATGGCTTTCTTACAATTTCCCATGGTACAGTAAGTATTTGTTTACAACATTTTATGTACATGGTTGCTAATACAGAAAGGCAAGCTATGCTGCTCTATATTTATAATTTGGAATTAGCTAGATTCCTGATGCAGTGTTTTGAATATGATGGATACATTTTTTTTTAAGGCAGTCTTTCAGAAATATGTCAAGACATACACAGTATCTAAAAATACAACTGTTTTAATGCTCATGACTGTTAATGGGAAAAAAATGGCTTTTTTTAATGACTCAGTTCATGTAAAGTGTTCATATTGTACTAGGCTATCTAAAAATACAAATTCTGACTTTGTTTTTTTGGAAAGATGTGGTTGGGCATTAAGCCATCTTTTAGATATGGGTTAAACAACTTTTCGTATTTACAAGACAAACTGAGAGAATGCTGAATCTCTTCTCTCCCCCAGCTTTGCTGCTATATGGGTAATATCTGTTACAAAGGTAGCTTTCCTGGGGAATAGCTGTAGGGGAAAAGCAACTCTGAAGGCAACTTCTACCAGAATGACAAGAGATAAAGAGTTAGAAGTCCCTCTTTCTTGGCTACCAATCTTTGAAATGCATTAAAAAACTTCTTATATTTATACTTAAAATTTTAAAACTGTATACTTTCATATTTTGGACCTACTACACTTGGCTTTGAACTCAGCTGATTTTGCTTTCCCATAACTTTTCTCTTTTTATATTGCTTTCTCAAAACTTTTTAAAAAGTTTCTTAAGGCAAAAATCAATTCAGTGACAGTATTTCCCATTCTTGGTCTAATAAACAGTCCTGTTTCTTGATCCTGTTATGAACCATTCTGTTCTTCATCCTGTTATGCCTGTTGCTATGACTACAAGTTGACCCTGGCAGCAAAAATTAATCAATCTCTCATTTGTGCATCTAACCACAAGCTGTTGCCTTCTGAGTTGACAACCAGGAGTTAAGGAGGAGTGCAAAACCAAGCCTGCAAAGCAGAGCCATTACTATGGCTTTGGGATTGTCCACCAGTTTATCCCTGTTCTCATTTGAGTGCATATGAGGGTGTCTTTCTCAGAGAAAAGTCTGTTAGTCTATTCTATATTGGTGTCTCCATGTGCTGTAAATGCATTTGGCATTGGACAAGCAGTAGTGGTACCAGTAGGAGTGTAGCTAGGGCAGCTCAGAGCTGGCAGAGGCTACAAAATCCACTTGTAGAGCAGAATTTTAAAACTTTCACATGCAAGTACAGTTACTGAGTCTATCAAGATACTGTTGTTCTTTTTTTTATAAGCTGTCTACCAGATGGTTTAACATTTTTAGAAGCAGTAAGTTCCCACTGAAATCAGTGGAGCTGTAGCTGGAAATCAGTTGCTAAGGTAGATACTTAAATGTGGGTTTAGTTATGTGGGTTTCACAGGTTTGGTCTTGATCTTTTTATATTACAAAATAAACAATTACCTTCTTGTTTAAAATATACTCCTAAGAAGTATTTTTACTTATTTGCTCACTTTCCCCTTATGTATTGATAGCAGTTTTGTGTAAAAAATTGATGCTTGTTTTATATACATGGGAATGGGTAGAAGTAATTTCTGTTTGTTAAGAATTTCTGGGCTGCTCTGAACTGAAGCGACGTTGATTTCCAAGATTTCTCAGGGTTGGTATGTCCTGGTCTCTCAAATATGACGTGTCATTCTCTGTTCCCAGCTGTTCATCAAAATGAACCATCTCTCAGAAATTCAGTTGTCAGTTTTGCTTGCTTTGTCAAATTCAAATTTGTCAATGCTTTTTCCTCTAAAGGCAAAGTATTCTTCATGGCTTTCTGGTTTTTGTTCGAGTAGCCTCTATTTATGAGGGACTGTTTTTTTAGTTAGTTTCCAGAACAGCTATCTTCAGGCAGTTGCACATGCTGTATTCTGACTTAAACTTGCCTGCCAAGTGCTCTCCTGATACGGATGGGGAGAGTATGGTTGGTTCTTTGTCAGTCACCCAGCTGTAATGCTGAATATACGTGTCTGCTTTGGTATATGTACAGAAATTATACTTCTAGACAACTAAAAGCTTCAAAGAAATTAGTATTCATAGAGCAACGTGCAAGGCAATGGTTGATGGAAAACCAGATGCTGCTCCTTTGTGTAATTATTAGCAGTTGGAAATTTTCTGACATCTACCTGACTGCAATTTAACGCATGTGAATGAAAAAAACAATGCTAGAAGCAGGCTGAATCATGTAAATAGGAATTCCTAAGTGGTTTCCAGATCAAGAAGTCACATGGGAAAAACTTATATTTGAGGAACCTCAAATTCCTCAAAATTGATTTGTGTTTAAAGAGCTTAAATGGAATTTGCTGGTTGTCTGCAAAAAAAGGAATATAATCAAAGAATATCAAGGAATCTTTTTTTTGTTGTTCTTTCTTTACTGCTGGAAACTTTAATCTACCATTATGATTAACAGGACAATCTGAAGGCAAAAGAATCAGATTTAATCTTTTTATTCTTAAGTAATGTGATACCCAGAAAAAATGCATGATGAAATCAGCCAACCAGTCTGCTAAGTAAGTGGACACATTTGCTTGTGCCTTTTGTAAAAATCAGCTCTGTATCATGGCACTCCTCAGTATTGTCTTAGAGGCCTAAACTTTTGATTCCTACACTTACTGATTGTTGCCAGAACAGATTTTAAGTCAGTTTTGCAGGATAGAGGGTTACCATTTCTGCAGGAAGGAACATGAGTTGATGCTGACGTCTGCGTGTATGGCATGCAAGGTGGCAGCACATCTTTTCAGGGTGTTGATGTGTTAACATGGGTGTCCAAAAATTCAGCAGTAGTGTGAAATTTAATTGTCTAATCAGAGACTCGAGCAAGAAAAAAGCTCAGAGGTTTCAAACAAATACTGTAGTAGCAGTTACACATTTGTTACCATTTTTTACTTCTAGTGTCTCCTAATCCTGCCAAATGTCCAGATCCACCTACAGCCTTGTGTGGCTAAGGAATTTATACAGCCTTACTTCACTTTGTCATGTGGCGCTGACTTCTCCCCAAGCATCATCTGCCATGTGGTGGAAGTGTGTTGTCTGCCAAGTAACGGGCAGATGCCCGGGAGGTGGGTGGGGGAGGGCTGTTATTTGGCTCTAGGGTAGAAGCATGAATGAGGTGGTATCAGCCCCACGTGAAGATGTCAGGGTTTTTTAATACCCTTGTTAATTTTGACTTGAGGTTAGGAGGTCCTCAGTTAAAAGCTTTGGAATATGTTGGGATTCCAAGATCAGCACATTGGCCCAGGATGTGTTTTAAGTTGTTGCAGCCATTTCTTTGGGTTCTCAGATCCTGATATGGAGTTCTTACGCCGCATTCTCCTACTGAGAGGGATAAGTTCTGTGTATAATGGTTCTTCAGAGCTCTCTCAAGCATTTTAGTGGATCCGTTTACAGCTTCATTTTTTGTAAGTTATAGAAAACTAGTTAGGTCCTGAATGCGCTTCAGGTCCAAAGTCTTCGAGCAAGTGGATTCTTGCTTAACCTGAATCTACTTGCATTTTTACATTCTCATAGAGCCTGTGAGAAAGGTATATATGAGTTGCCCTGTGGCTTGTTTACCAAATACTTATATTTTTATTTTTGTTTGCTTTATTTTGTATTTTCATTCTATGCAGCTTCTGGACACTTCTTGGACAGTTACATTAAGAATGTAAACACTGGAAACTTCAGTGCTATAGATACTAAGTATATTTAACCGAGAAAATGGGCCCAAGCTAGCATTTTCAAGATGTTTTCTTGTATGCTTCTAGTTAAAAAGAACTCTTGTTGATGGGCTAAAATAATGAAAACTGCATGCAGTTTTACTACTAAAAGGAATGTCTGGAATTTGAAAAGCTGTTTACTAGGCAGAGTATACAGTGAGGTTGTCAATTGTCATCTTGCTGCCTCCAGAACCTCTCTTGGGTACAATTTCTTTTACATTGCCCAGCAAGCGACCTGCAGGTTTGTTGTTTCAAAGCATGCATGACTTCATTATGTCTACTGCTTACATCGGGCAAAACATGAGTATGCTGTTCCAAGGACACCATGCTTATTTTTTTTCTCCACCCCGCCCCCCCCCTTTTTTTTTTAACCAGGAAAAAAAAAAGTAATTGTTTCCCTCCTTATGTTTCTCCATGGTTTTGTTTTTTTACTGGTCTTCAGATATGATGATGATGTTCTTTTTTGGTCAGCTACATTGTTTTATGAGGAGATTTGTACTCTTCAGACTTGTTCTCCTTTTTTGAATGAAATATTTTCATCAATAAATTTAGAAGAGATTGTGAAGGTCTACATATCTTATGATTAATTGCAAGTTAATTACATTATCTGGTAGTTCAGCTTCATTTGATAGTTCTTGTTTAGATGATTAAATCTTGTTTTAGCAACTTGGTAGATTAAATTTGTTAGAACACAACAGTAAGTGTGGTTATGTGTTTATGTATATTGCTATCTTTTGTAATAGCACTTTCCTAATGATTTAAATTACTGTTTTTCAGATGCTATTGTATAGAGCAGAGTCTCTCTAGTTAAATCTGCTTTAATTATTCTAAAACAAGAGTGAAACTAGTTATCCATTGTAGCAAGTGCAAGCCATTCCTCAAATCAAGTTTGCAAACACAGTGTCTTTCTAGGTCCTACCTCAGGTCTGCAGGACAGGCAGGTTAAGGGAAAGAAGAGATTACTGCAGAGATGCTATTTGAAAAGTTTTTGTAGCCTTTATGAGACTTTTTCAAAATGAAGTTTGCTTGTGCATTTTGCTTTTAGTAAAACTTTGCCACTTTCTACTCAATAAGGAACTGAAATAGCTGAGAGGAATTTGACTAGAAAATGTATATCATTATAGACTATATTTTGTTTCACTACATTTTTTAGTAATGAACTATCTCCAGTTTAGTTTTGCATATGTTTGTTGCAAGACTTCTCTGTGCAAACTTCTTATTTTCCTTTAATGTGTCCCTTCACTGGTTTAAAAATTGAGCATTTTTTCTAAACTGGTTATCTAGGCTTTCTTTAAAAACATTAGCAGGAGTAAAATTATTTGATTATTGAAAACCTAGACAACTAATTTTTTTTAACCTAAATGGCTAAATATTGGAGGATTAAACTTAGGTAAAATCAATCTGTCTCCTTGTCATACCTGATTCCTTCAGATAAGTGTTACTGGTAAGGTGATCGTAGTAGTGATAATTAAAGTGATTTTACCCCTCTCCCCTTTCAAAATTCTGGTGTCTATCCAGTTATCAGTGAACAAAATAGCCCGATATAAGATAATGAAGTTTACAAACCATGATGCAGAAGAAAACATAAATCAAAATCTGAGTACCTTGAAAATTAAGGTAACAGCCATTTGTCAAGGCTTTTTGGCCAGTGGGATGTTATCCTGTGTTTCTGGACTGCAGGGCTCAGTCAGTATCAATATACTAAAATCTGTATGTTTTATCTTCAAATAGGCTAACCGACCTCCAGCAAAGCTCAATCTGTTAACCTGCCAAGTGAAAACAAACCCAGAGGAGAAAAAATGTTTTGACCTCATATCACGTAGGTTTGTTGTTTAGGTCTTTTTACTTGCAGCTAATATCAAAAGAGTTTTGCATTATTTCTGTAGATGTGTCAATAACCCACTTAAACATTTTTGCAATTGTAGAATGCTTCCCTTTATAAAATGCCTTTCCTATGACAATTTCCCATTTCACTTATTTTAGCATAATGCAACTAATTGTACCTGTATCTTTGGAAAACCACTTGTTTTTAAAGCTGTCTTTACTCCTTCTTTCTATATCATTTTGTGCTACCTTACAATAGAGTAACAATGTTTTTTCTGTGACATCATTCTTTATATTGAAAATATCATAGCTAGCTGATCATCTTGAAAAGTTATGACTTTTGTACAAAATCAAAAGAGGCTTTTAAACCATGACAAAACTTCTTAAAATCTAAGCATAGTGGTCTCTATGCAACTGTGAAGAAAATACTGGAAACTTTTTTAGTTTTGTAATCTCATAATACATACAAAGGTGAGATAAAGAGTCTACATATTAAAAACACCAAAACTGAATAATTTTGGGAACTGAATGGGATGATACAACATTGTATAGTATCAGGTTTCCTTTTTTTTTTCTCACTGGGACATTTTAGTATTATATTTACGGACTCAATAAAAATATATTACTAAAATATATATCTGAAATTATTTGGTGAGAAGAATGTAAATCTATTCGTCATTTGTTCCTTTATCGGAGCATAAAGTTCTTTTGTATTTGTAAATGTAAGATATTGCTACTTCTGTTAATAGACTAGTACTCATGTATGCAATGTACAGCTTTTCCATCTCTGCACAAGCAAGTGGTCTTCCTTGTTTACTTTTACACTTTCTTTCTTTGTTGATGACCACATCACATTTTGCCCAATATCAGCTTATCACAACATTATCGTTTGACCCATCATACATATGACAAGGCATAACCGGCCTCTTAGCCTTCTCCAGATCACTTTTCATTTTGTTTTACTAGAGTTTAAAAACATTCCTTGTTTTTTAAAAACTGCAAATTGCTGTATCATGGCAGGATAAAATCTCTTATTCTTTATCTAGCACTTCCCTTTCTGTCCTTTCTTATATCCTCACTCTCTTACAGTTTCCCATGTTTGAAACTATCTTTTAATACCTTTTTGCCTGAATATTTTTCAAACTTTAGGAATTTTCAGCCTAGAATATCTTTTTGCCAGTAGCTTTAGCTCTGTTCTTCTTATCAACTATACTAATTTTAACTCCAACTCAATCATTAAACTATATCTTATCTCATTTGTTTCATAGACTTAAAATGTATTATGCTTTTTTCTTTAATGGTACACTATGATAACAGTGCTTAGAATTACAAAAGTAATAGTAAATTAAAATTTTTGAGCCTGATTTAATTGAAACAGCTTGGGGCTTATTCTGATAGTAGTTCGGACTTTGTCTGGCAAATTTGTTTTGCCATTTTTGATTACTGTGGTTTTAAGAGCTCATTTGGAAACTTTATATCTTTCTTACATATGCAGATAAACTCAAATATGGACTCTATATTTTTCTCCCCCCCCCCCCCCCCCCCCCCCCAGCAGAACTTTAGACTTGTGATTACTGAGGTTAAATCTAGAACATGGATAAATTACTATGCTCTTCTGCTGCTTATGCAACAGAAGCACAGCATTGAAGAAAACAGTTTCTTTTTAAAAAGCAACAAGCCACTTTGTGTAAACATAGGTATAAACATAGATGAACTGTAGGTAGTAAGAGTGAAACTTGCTAAATAGACTTTTTGCCTGTCAACACTCCAGTGATGAGATTGGAGACTTCAGGAGTCATACATCAATTAATTTTAGATTTTTCTGAGAGATTTCTGCAAAATCAGTTTTTCAATCATTTTTTTAAATCAGTATGTGAATTATTTATTGTGCAGACGACAGAACGTACCACTTTCAAGCAGAGGATGAACAGGAATGTCAAATGTGAGTTACTTTGCTAATTTTATTTTTGATACTGGTGTTCTATTGAGACGTTACCTTGAACGTTAGAAGTGCCGAAACATTTAATAGCAAAATATTACTGCCATTTTAGATGGACATCTGTGCTACAAAACAGCAAAGAGGAAGCTTTAAATAATGCATTCAAAGGAGATGATAACACAGGAGAAAATAATATTGTCCAGGAACTGACAAAAGAAATTATATCTGAAGTCCAGAGGATGACTGGAAATGATGTGTGTTGTGACTGTGGAGCACAAGGTGACTCAATTAAGCATATTTCTAATTGGTAAAAATTCTATGTCTCATGAGAGTATTTAAGCTGATGTTTTATGCTTTCACATTTACTCCTTATCTCACAAAGATTATACACATAGTAGAATGTGCTAACAATTTAATTGCACTACTGTACTAAGATGGATTTGCTATATGCATATTGTCAGTGGGGAGAAAAGTTAGTAAAAAGTGCTTACTTTTCTCCCATGTATTTTGCTAATTGAAACTGTTGCTTATATAAATCAATTGAACTTATTTTATTAGCCCATATTTTACATAAGATTTAGGTAAAACTGGACAGCAGTAAGATATTTGAATCATTTTCCTAATAAACCTCAATTTTTCTTTTAACTTTCATGTTTGACTTATATGAATATGTTTAAGACTGTGCTTATTTGGAAAAGAAGGCACCTGCTGACTATGGTTCACAGTGTTTGCAGTGTTGGTTTTGTTGATCGATGAATTTCTACTTTAATCCTCTTCAAATTATTTTTTAAATAGTGCTGTTTCCTGTGTTCTTTTATGTTACAGAGGCACTGCAGGACTTACGATTTTTTTGATCTGAAACTGTAGCTGAAAACATCAGTTCTGAAGCTGTATGCACTTTATAAATCAATAGTAACTTCCTGCAATAGATACTGTATAAAACTATGGGAAGAGTCAATCCTGTTGTCTTTAAAGGAAAAGATTGTAAACAGCTACTACCAAACCTTTATCAAATAAATGAATTTCTAAGCTGTCTAAATCTTCAGAAATTAATTATTTGTCTGGAAGATGAGGGAATGTTACAGCAAGAATGCAAAATACCAGGAGAAAAGACAAGCAAGAGTAACAGAAGGAGAGGGATCTTTGAAATAGTTGAGTGAGAGTCCATTGTAGTGCAGTGCTGTATGTATACTTCAGAATCACTGCTGCTTCACTTAGTCTAAAGTCTATACTTGAAATACAAAAAAACCCCAACCCTGTAGGTATTGTTATTTCAGTCTGAACTGCACCTATGCCCCCAGCTGAGTATGTGACACCATTGCATTGGTGGTAGAAAAACGCACTTCCTGAAAGCCATGTGGAGAATGACAAACTGGACTGTTTGAGCAGCTCACTTGGATAGCAATGTCCTTTAAAAAAAAATTAAAAAATTATAAAAAAATTTTGCATCTTCACTTCTTTCACCATTAAAAAAAAAATTGATTTGTGTTTCCCAATACAGTAAATGTAAAGATATAAATTAAAAAACCTGATAATTCACATACAGGAATCTTACTTTACAGAATTTCATTTCTGTATACTACATTTTCTAGAATAAAATAATTACCTGAACAAATTTTAATTCTGTGGGTACTTTCTGTTTCAGATCCTACGTGGCTTTCAACAAATTTGGGAATTCTAACTTGCATTGAATGCTCAGGAATCCATAGAGAACTTGGTGTTCACTATTCCAGAATGCAATCACTTACATTAGATGTGCTGGGAACATCTGAACTTCTGGTAATGAAACTGCTTTTATTAACTTAAAAATAGTACTATAAAAGACTTCCAACACAAATATATTTTCGTCACTTTAACGATAATGTTGTTCCAATCTTGAAAGTTGCCTCTAGATAAACATAATTTAAGAAAGCTTAATTCTTCAAGTTACAGGGAAGCTCCTGGAACATAGTGTCTTACTGTAAACTTTGCCTGATCTTAGAATTCAAATTAGTAGAGGCTTCATATTTTTTGTATTTCCAAACCTTTTTACCCTTGGTTGCTTTTTAAAGGAGCACAGCTGTTTGACATATAAATGTGCCTCTTGGATTAAAAATTGAAGGACTTCACAAGTACTTATTCCATTAATTATTTAGCATTATTTTAGAGGAGAACTTTAATCCTCAAAGGAAAAAAAATGTATTCAGCTTTGCTACACAGAGAAGTTACCATATATCGGCTGCTCTGTGACACTTTGTATGTGTGTTCTTACCCAGCACGAAGTATTTTGCATTTATTGTATGATCTGGTGTCTTAATGGATTATTCTGCAGTTACTTGTTTGTGTATTAAATCCTAGCTGAAAACTGACATCCAAAAAGGTACCTACTTTGTTCCCGATCACTGACATAGTAGCAGAACTAGGAATCAGAACTAAAAAATCCCAAGCCCCATTTTCCCTTGTCCTCCCACTAGTATGTGCATGGCCAATAACCGAACATTTCTTTAGTGAGCTGTGGATTTTTTTTTTTTTTTTTTTAATCAGCTTGCAAAGAATATTGGGAATGCTGGGTTTAATGAGATTATGGAATTCTGTCTGCCAGTTGATGAGATGGTCAAACCTAATCCAAGCAGCGATATGTAAGTAAAGAGCCACTACTTCTGAAAAAGGCAGGCCTTTAATTTAATATTGCTAATGGGTTGTGCCATTATGGTTTGCACCAGCAGGCCATGGAAGATATATGTCTTATATATAGCCTTATAGCCAAGGAGTGAACCTTTTTTCTGATGCTTTGTGTGTGTTTTATTGAACTTTATCTGATCATATCTTCCCTAATAAGGATTATTTTACCAACTCTCTGAATCATGATTTGGGGGACAGAAACAAATTAAACATGACTTGTTGGGAATTTTAAAGACACACAAGGGTAGGGATTAAAAAAAGCTATTATTTTTGTGCTATTTAAACACAAAATAGAAACTGAAGTAAGGTGTACATTTTGCCTGAAAGATACCGAGCACCTAGTGTTTAGAAACTACACCTAGGACTTAAGTCTGTAACTATATGGAATAAAGACAGAACATATAATTGAATTCCTCAAAACCACTGAACAGTGATGGCAGAGACACAGCAAGGACAGCTGCCTACTTGGCTGGATACTACTCCATTGTAAAAGACCTAGTAAATGATGCAGAAACGAACCCAGAAGAATTGGCTTTGGATGAAGCTGATTTTACATTATTTGGACTTTCACCATTCTGACAGAACCAATGTTAAACAGTGCAGTTTAAATAATTTTTGACTACCACTATCAGTAATAATATAGAATATTAATATTAATTTTACTGAATGCTAAATCAATAGTATAAGAAGACTTCTAAAAATTGATATTTTAAAAAAATAATTTAGTTTGATACATCTACATATCGAATTTGGGGCTTTTTTAATGAAATGAGAACCTGAAGACAGACACTTTTTTAAAACTATGAAGGAATACTGTCATATGCTTTAGGAACAAAAGCTATCCATTAATTCAATTTATTATTATTTGGATTTTTTTCTTTTTGCTCATTATATAGTATCTAGATGATGAAGTATGGCTTTGTTAAATGTCTTCTGTGCAATGTTGTGTACATCCCAAGAGCTGGTAAGGAGTTATGCCTTTGGGAGGCATGCAACTTCCTGTCTTGCTGTGATGGGAAGAGGAGTAGCCATTTGTTAGCTGGGTATCAACAGCAAAAGTGATGACTCATGTGCTGATTCAAGTGTACTAAGTTTTCGCCTCAGTTTAGAGACGAAACTAAAAAATCCATTACATCCTCCCTGTTACAGTTGTGGTGAAGAGTTGCTTTACAGAACATACTAACTGGTGTGAATACAGATCCAAGGCCTGGATAGCCTGTGCAGAAGTATAAGACAGATTTTTGTATCCCATGCCTTCCATCCCTTTCTAGCATATGTAGGACTACAAGTCAGGTAAACACAAACCTGCAAGGCTGCTGTTAGCAAACCAGCATTGTGAAGCTTTGATGTATCTTTTGTACATAGAGCTCGGTAATCTTGATCTCAACTTCATACCAGAGTTCAGAAGGGAAAATTCACAGTCTGTCTTTGTACTGGATATTTGATTCATCTTCTGTAGCTACATTTCATACTGGAAATACGAGACTGCATGGCTTATGTGCGTATTTAAAAACAAAAATTATCATAATGAATGAGAAATAGTCTTTCCCAGATTTTATTTCAAATTACTTGCATGTATTTATGGAAATCCTAACGTGTATCTTCTGCTAAAAGTTATAGAAATAAATTATATTCAATTTCAGGAATGCAAGAAAAGATTATATTACTGCCAAGTATATTGAGAGAAAATATGCAAGGAAGAAGCATGCTGATAATACAGCTAAATTGCACGCTCTTTGTGAAGCAGTCAAATCAAGAGACATTCTTGGATTAGTCCAAGTATATGCTGACGGTGTGGATCTCACAGAAAAAATTCCACTGGCCAATGGCCATGTAAGTGTTGTAAAATTTATTAGACAAATTGTTATAAGTGCAATATGTTTTCATTAATTAAAAAGGACTATTTTTTTCTTATTTGAAAATAAGATTTGAAACAGTTTTGAACACTTGTCCTTTTAATGATGTAATTTAACAAAAGAAGATATTAAATAGTTTAATCTAAATTTTTTCCAAATACTGTCATATTTTAAATGTATTAAAACATTAAACATTAAATCATCCAATAATCTATTAGTTTTCAACCCATTTGTTTACTTTAAAGGAAAGAAAGGGAAGAAATAAAAGTCTTTACAAGAAATATTTTCATGTTAGCATGTCTAAATATTTTGAAATTAAATGTTTTATTTGATCTAATGTATGTCTTACTAAAATTTCTGCTTCTCTGTAGATCAGAAGAAACAAATGTGTTCTTTTGTTTTATTCTTAGGAGCAAGACGAAACAGCACTTCACCTTGCTGTTAGGTCAGTTGATCGAACATCCCTTCATATAGTTGACTTTTTAGTGCAGAACAGGTAAGTGTATGGAAAACTATTAAAATATTATTGATGCTGCTTTTATGTCAAGTAATACAAATACTAAATGAATACAAGTACTAAAACTAATTCTAGTATTGCAAATGTAATTTTATTCTTTGAAAATCTTGTAATAAGGTTTATTAATATAGGGTAGGAAACTAAATCAGTTTTCTTCTTTCTTATACTCCAATAGTGGCAATCTAGATAAGCAAACATGTAAAGGTAGCACAGCCCTGCATTACTGCTGTCTGACGGACAATGTTGAGTGCCTCAAACTGCTGCTGAGAGGAAAGGCTTCTATTGAAATAGGTAAAAGGGTAATGTGTACTTCAATTTCATATTTGTCACAGCTTCAGATAAGAAACAGTGAAGGTGGAATAAGTGTGTTTTCTCCTCAACTGTTTATCATAATTCTGTGAATATAATCTTCATCATTAAAAAACCCCAATATTTACAGTTTATTTCAAGTTTAAAATTGACTTATACATTACACTTGTTTTTTACACAAATTTAGATAAGTAAGTACCAAGATTTTTAACTGATATCTTGTTGCCTAGTTATATACTGCCATTTCATGCCTACGATTCCATATATATGGCATGTTGAGTTGCTACTGCTTGTCATGTTCAGAGGATTGGTATGAGTTAGACCTACATACAAAGGAAAGAGATTAATTTTAGAGTGTGTTGGTCTACTACTTCACTATGTAGCTACAGATTTGTCTTTATCTTTAGTAATGGACATGTTAATAGTGACACCTATTATCATAACTTTCTTTTCTTGCTGTAATACAGCTAATGAATCAGGAGAGACGCCACTTGATATAGCTAAACGTTTAAAACATACTCACTGTGAAGAGTTGGTAAGTGTTGCATCTTTGTGTGTGTTTGTGCATTTCTAAGCCGAATCATGTCTGAATATTTAACAGTTTACAGTTGAATATTCAATGAATATATTCCAGATGGAATAGTTGTACACTTAGAAATAGTTTTATGCTTATATCAACTTATATGCTTTTAAGAAGAAAATTATATTTCTTTTTAGATGCTTTGGAAATGCTAAACTTCTTGGGGCCAGGGTATGATTCTGTTGGAGCTAATAGTCCCAGATCCACAAGTAAGATCCCCACAGTAAGTTTGCAGACAACACCAAGTTGGGCGGGAGTGTTGATCTGCTTGGGGGTAGGAAGGCTCTACAGAGGGATCTGGACAGGCTGGATCAATGAGCTGAGGATAACTGTATGAGGTTCAACAAGGCCACGTGCCGGGTCCTGCACTTGGGTCACAACAACCCCATGCAATGCTACAGGCTTGGGGAAGAGTGGCTGCAAAGTTGCCTGGTGGAAAAGGACGATGTATTGGTCAACAGCCAGCTGAATATGGGCCCCTCACTACAAGACAGACGTTGAGGTGCTGGAGTGTGTCCGGAGAAGGGCAACAAAGCCGGTGAAGGGTCTAAAGCACAAGTCTTATGAGGAGCGGCTGAGGGAACTGGGGTTGTTTAGCCTGGAGAAAAGATGGCTGAGGGGAGACCTTATTGCTCTCTACAACTACATGAAAGGAGGTTGTAGCGAGGTGGGGGTTGGTCTCTTCTCCCAGGTAACAAGCGATAGGATGAGAGGAAACGGCCTCAAGTGGCACCAGGGGAGGTTTAGGTTGGATGTTAGGAAAAATTTCTTCATCGAAAGGGTTGTCAAGCACTGAAACAGGCTGCCCAGGGAAGTGGTTGAGTCACCACTCCTGGAGGTATTTAAAAGGTGTGTAGAAGTGGTGCTTAGGGACATAGTTTAGAGGTGGACTTGTCAGTGTTAGGTTTACGGTTGGACTCGATGATCTTAAAGGTCCTTTCCAACCTAAGTGATTCTGTGATTCTGAGTATCTGACATTTCATTGAAATCTAATCACTAAAGTACTTATTACGGGTGAAGGCCATGGATGACAGCCATTTTCTTGTTGCCCAGAGAAGTTGTGGATGCCCCATCATTGGAAGTGTCCAATGTCAGGTTGGATGGGACTTTGAGCAACCCGATCTAGTGGAAGATGTCCATGCCTATGACAGGGGAGGAGGGGGCGGTGGTGGTGGACTAGATGGTTTTTAAAGGTCCATTCCAACCCAAACCATTCTGTGATTCTATGAGAAGTTGGCTACCATCACTACTTTTAGTGAGCAAGAGAAATGGATTAGTGGGGTCAAGGCTTCTTGCTAAGTGAGTCTGAAAAAAATATGCCATTGCAGTTAATTTCTTTGACTTGCAATTTCTAGATCAAAGCAAATAGGATGTGGTGGTTGACAGAAAATGGATAATGGACCTACAGTGGTTAATGAAAAGCCTAGTTGCTTTTGATTTATTTGTGTTGTATTTGGTGACAGAGCTGAATTCTTTAAACTTACCCCAGTGCAGTAACTTTCCAGATTACTGACATCTGTTTTTAAAATAAAAGGTTCCTTCTGTATGTTGTTTTGTTGAGTTTTTAAATATGTTGTTTTAAAATAAGTACTGCACATAGCATAGGTGTCAACAGTCATCTTTTTTTCTTTAGCTTACTCAAGCACTGTCCGGAAGATTTAATTCTCATGTTCATGTAGAATATGAATGGCGGTTACTCCATGAAGATCTGGACGAAAGTGATGATGACGTGGATGAAAAGCTGCAGGTTTGTATCAATACATTTATTATTTTTCTGTACACATATATGTGTAAGCATGGTGTTCATAATGATTTCAGTAACACTACTTTTTACTATAGGTATGAAGGCACTGTGAAATTAAGTTCTGTAGTAAAATGTAGCAGCTTAAATTTTAGTTCCTTAAATTATAGTTTGTCTTCTTTTTCCTCTTTAATATAAGGTATGAAACATATGACTGTGGTGATGGTCAAACTGTGATTAGCCAGATGTATCTCTTTTTTAATGGAGTCAATAGTTTGTTTCAGTACATCAGGAATATTTAGATCTGCTGACCATGAAGCAGAACTAACATGAGCTAGGAAAATTGCCTTTATAAAGAGAGGCACCTTATAGTATCTCCTCATGTTTGTGAAAGAGCTCCAGTTGATGGCTTTAATTTTGAAACAGTTTATGCATTGGCTTGTCTTTAGTGAAACTAAACTAGTTCATTCAATAAGTTTTGTCCATTAATAGTAGGGTAGGGTCTTGATTCTGAATCTTCATGTAAAAATATTTTTGGTCTTCTCCCTTTTCATACCTGAAATTTCTGGTGGTGTTGTGGTGCTATTGCATCGAGAATCACAGAATGGTTGGGATTGGGAGGGACCTCTGAAGGTCATCTGGTCCAACCCCCTGCTAAAGCAGGGTTACCTAGAGCCAGTTGCTCAGGACCGTGTCCAGATGGCTTTTGAATATCTCCAAGGATGGTCATATTACAAGTATTACAAAGTATTCCAGTAGCATAGGAACTTCGTTCCATTTTCAAAATTTAATTTCCCAATTTAGGGACCAACTTCAAAAAGTATTTAAGCACCTAAACATACAGGCAGGGAACAAACTACCATGTTTTGATACCTGAACAACACTTAAAATTGGCTTGTATTTCTAGGGGCCAAGTATTTTGAAATGACGTACAGGGTCCTAAAGACTAATGACATTCTGAAACTTTCATAATTTGAAGTATTCCAGAGAAGCATTGAACACATTTTCCTTGTTGCGTGTGCAGTGTTATAATTGCTTATGTCTTTTCTGCTTCCTTTACAAAGTGCAAGGAATACACAATAGGCTTTATATTAGTTAACCTTCAGATGTTAGCACAACCTTTTTTTTTCCTCTTGAAAGTGGCTAACGAAAACCCTTTTCTCTTCTGGATAAAGAAATTTGATTTTTTTTTTTTTCTACAAGTTTTAGCATTTTAATACTTCTCTTGCAAATCCTCCATCTCAGCTAGAGCATGAATTACTAATACTCTAATTAGTAACATAAAACCAAATCTTGTGTGTTGGGTTTTTCTTTGTTTTCAGAAATATTAAACCCTGACAGCCATAGGTTCATTTTCTTTGCCTTCACAGAACATCTTTAAAAACGCTAGGTCATCAGACCATTGAATTGGCTTAATCTTTTGGAGACTAATTTTGACATCAGTAAGTTTCCTCTGTTGCAGAATACCATTTTTGCAAGATTTTGTCTGCACAGGATTCTTCTCCCCATGTCCTGTCTCTTTAGTCCAAGGTAGCTATTAAGTCTGGTGCTTGACTTGGACTAGTTAGCAACAATGAACAAAAAACATATCACGAGCCATCACTTTCAAAGCACAATTGCTGCCTTCTGAGACTTTTCTTAAGATTTTTCTTGAGAATTTTGGTATCTGTGCAAGAGTCTGGAATCCGTGAGCTGCTAAACTCAGTTCTTCTGGGTGAGCTTTCGTATTATGTCCTGGTATTTACGTATTCCTGTATGTTGTGTCACCATTCAGATAATAACAGCAGTAATGACCTTTTTGATAAAGCAGCTTGAAACTTTCTGTTATGTTTTAGTCGGAAAAAATGAAATCTCTGTAAAACCTTTTGGGTAATTTACAGCTAGATACCTAGCAAGTCCCTTTCTGGGACACTTTAAATTTGTATTTTTGATCTGTTTTTTCCTTCACTTCTTTCGTTGTTGCCAGTTGCCTTCTTCAGTTGAGTGTTCTGTTTTTGTCTAGTCCCTGAGCTCCATCTCATATAGGCAGTTTTCTGCTACTTAGCAATGAGGCTAAAGTAATGAAACTGCTACTTCACTGCCCACTATTAATAGGCTTATACTACAGGGAGTTTAGAAAGGAGATTAAGGACTATTAATCACAGACTAGTGTCTGTGACTACATTGAATGCACTGGTGAATACTGCTGTTGCTTAGGATCACATCAGAGTTCTGTTTATAGATGTCAAGCTATTGGGCTTGTCTCTCTTTCTCATAAAGCAATTGAATAGATTTTGTAATCTTCATCAGAGAAGGTCATGTCTGAAATTGAAGTTCTTTTAGTCCAGAATATAAAAAAGAATCTAACCTAAAAGAAGGCTAAGACAGTCTAACTGGTTTATGCTGCTGTTCCACACCCTGGCTGCCTGGTTCTGCCTCATCTTTTGCCTCCATTCTGGCACACGTTTGTCCCTGTACTGAGTTCTTCCAGTTTGGTAAACCAGTGAAATGCTAAATCAACAAAATAAAAAAGAACTTTGTGCTGGTTTAGAAAGCAGAAGCAAGTGTGGGCTGAAACAAATACCAGAACCAGGACAGTGGAGAGGTCAGGGAATGGAGAGTGTCAGCCAGTGAGGAGCGAGGCTGCTGAGGCAAAGTAAAGGTAGGGATTAATGCATTTGGCTGTCACGTATATCATTCTCATAAATCTTTGAACTATAATGCTGTGCTGTAACATGTCTAAAAGCCCTAAATGATCAATCCAGAGTAAGCATTGAATATATTCAGAGGAAAATCAATTGCTTATTTGTGATACTGTTAGAATAAATCTTTATTCTGCCTAAATGCTATTACTATAAATGTTTATTTTCATTTCATACAGACAGTACATCAGTGACATGTTTATCTAACTCTATTTCTAAAGGCACATTTATGCTCTCTGCGCTGTGGATTGTTACAACCCATTCCTATACTAACCACATGAATTTATAACTCCAGCTATTTTAATTATCATTCAACAACAATAATTATGTATTAAAAGCAACAAAAATGCATTTTAGAAGCCATTTTTTCTTTCTGGAAACTAATAACTGTTTATCAACTGATCAACAAAATGAGTACAACTAATGTGGTATGAGTGAGTACTTCTGTTACTGTGTTTAAGCAACCCAGTCCCAATCGGAGAGAGGACAGGCCTGTCAGCTTCTATCAACTTGGATCAAACCAACTTCAGCCTAATGTAGCATCCTTGGCGAGAGATGCAGCGAACATTGCTAAGGATAAGCAAAGAGGATTTATGCCAAGTATATTACAGAATGAAACATATGGAGCAATACTCAGTGGCAGTCCACCTCCCATTCAGCCTGCAGTACCTGTTACAAGTAGTGCACCTCCTCTACCTCCAAGGAATATTGGCAAAGGTACTAACACCGGAAAATATCATTGTACGTTAGAAGAATGGGATCATAATGTATTTTTTTATTATTGGTACATTTTTAGGTTTTCTTTCACAGTTATTTTGCACAGGTAAGTATTGGAACAGTTTATTGATGACTTCATTTTATATACTTGAAGTGAATCTGCACAACCTGTTCTGATCTTGATTTTCAGTGTACCTGCAAGAAAGTACACAGTAGTGTTTGGGAAGACAATGCCCAGGTAACCTCAATAGATCTAAACAATTTATTAAAAGGAGGGCTGCAGTCAATTTAGTTCAGCAATTTTGTTGTTGTTGTTGTTATATTCCATCTTCTCATACTTCTGTTTCTTGAAGATGTCATTGTCAGAGTTCAATTTAAATGTACCATTTCAATAGCATTTGGCTGCTGTGGAAAATTGTTTTAAGACCTGGGCAAATGGAGAGTGTATGCAGAACTTGAGAGGTTTTAATCTTGCAAAGTTTTCTCTTAATAAATATATGCTTCAAGGTTGTTTAAATAAAAGTGTAAGCATCATGATGGATCATCTTAGAGAACTGGTAGCTGACTGAAAAAGTAACTGCCAATTACTGGTTATACCCTGATCAGCAATGTAAGATGTACATGTATCATCCTGGTTCAGAAGGGTTGTGTGCTTGCAAAATCTACCATTAAAGCTGATGCTGTGAACTTCATTCTTACCTTCACATATAATCTCTTTGGATCATATTAAAGAAGCATAGAGAAATCTGTATAGGTCCTCTTTGTACCGTACATGTTCAGTGTGTTTCATTGTTCTAATACCTTTGTTAATCCAGCAGCTTTCATTGATGCTAAATTTATGTAAAGTTCAATTCAAGAAAAATGACTATGTAAACGTGTGGTTTTCTATGGTGCTGTCATTCAGACTCTGTAAGAGGAGATATGAGTGGGGAATGTTCTAGGCGTACATGAGTGGCTTCTGCCTTTGGGAGCGCTGTGCAGAGGTCAGAATGCAAGATACTGTACCCCAGTGATTGTGTCCGAGGTGGCAAATTGAACATCCATGTAATATGAAAAGTCAGTTATTGCTCTCACAGGAATGGCTGCAGCATAAAAGTCAGATTAAAATGTTCTTTTGGGGGTGGAAAAACTGAGAACAGTAGCATGGGACTGGGGGAAGTTTAGCAGCATATAAAACTTAACCAAGGTGGGATTCCTTTTGTGTAACATTTTTGCATGAAGTCGAAGCTTAATATCTAGACACTTTTGTTACTTGATGGAAAAGAATGTTTCCCTCACCAAACAGGAAAAATCACCAAGGAGCTTGCATAGTCTGTTTAACTGTTAGATTCTATCTCTAAATTAGTAATACAATTGGATAGTTCAAAAGACTGTTTTACCCTTTGATATTGTTTTAATCATGGCCAACCATACTATTTTACCCACTGTTTGCCCTTGATTAAATGACGCTTTTCAAAGAGTGTCATTTTAATTTCATTCCCAACCCCAGGCTTCTTGGCACCAGTACAGTGCAACTCATGCCAAGAAAGCATGCTGCCTGGCTTATATTACTAGCTCATATTCTTTAGCAATGTATTAGCCTATTATTTTATATTCTTAGTTAAAAGCTATAATAGTATCATCAATCTTAGCTTCTTGTTGATTGCTGATGTTGTTGATGTTATGCTTAAGGTGTATCGTTACTCTTTTATCCTCTTAGCTTTAGGCTGTTCTCCAAGTCTTCTGAGCCTTTTATGCTTTTCCCTGCAACCTAGTATTTATTCATACCTTACTCTGTTTCATCTTTTCTTAATATGATGCTCATGTGCTGAGTAGAGAGAAGTGGCATGATATGTGCTAAATATTGGCATTATGAAGAAAATCTGTAGTGTGTTTTTATGAAATGGGCAGGCAGCTCGTCAGCATAAGAATGGAGTCGTTTAGGAGGCCCCAAAGAAGTCCTACTTTGTAACTGTTTCATGAGTAGTTATTATAGTTTTTTGCTTGGGTGAAATTCAGAATTACAGTTTTATGTCAATTCCAAGTCAAACCTGATGTTTCACTTTGAGTTAGCAAAGTCTGCTAATGGTCACTCGAGAGTGAGGTCCTTTTCGTGCAGTACCTGAGAAGATTACAGCTATCAGTCAGGGATTAAAGAAGGTAGCAAGATGTGCCTTCTGTCATCTTGTTGAGAAATTTCTGCTTTTTCAAGCATCGACATATTTTAAAGTAACGACCGGAGACAAATTTTACTTAGATAAAGTGTTAGTAAGACTTCACCCAGAAACTTTTGTGTAATTTTTTACACCAGACTCTTGATCTCTGCTCTGGCATTCCAGCAGGATGGCAGTGGTTCCTATTGCTGAATATAGTGGTCTAGCTGCACCATTTTTAAAAGCACGGGTGTGAATATTAACACTTTGTGCTTAGGGTAAGCAATAATAATAATACAGTATTTTCCTCTCTTTTTAGTTCAGCCTTCAGTTCTTGGCAGTGGTATTCAGACAATTTCTTCATCTAATGCAATGTGGAAGACAAATTCTTTAGGAGTGGAAAGTATAAGCAGGCAGAGGTCTTCATCAGATCCACCAGCTATTCATCCCCCTGTGCCGCCATTGCGTGTAACATCTACAAGTATGTTTCCACTTTCCCCTGTTTTCCCTTATGCTGTATCTAATCATAGTTGGCTTATTTTTCCATTTCCACAACTCATACTTCCTCTTTTGGTGACTGTAGCTTTGGCCTATCGTTCCCATCCAGTAACTTTGTATGAACTGTCTTCTCTGATGTTCCAGTGAGGACTCTACAGTGTAGTGCAAGGTCAACAGGAAATACTATCTATTACTAGAGCTAAAGAGCTCTTCACTTTGTATATATAGTTTCAATGCTGCATTTCTCACTATTTGTAAAGATGAGTGTTACATGTAGGTCTGGGGCTATGTCTCTGCATTGTGCTTGGTTCTTGTGAACCGTAGGAATGCAAAAAGATGTTTTAATGCATTGCCAGCTGCTGTTGTGGTGGTTTCAAGAATTCAGTAGAAATTTTAATTAATTGCTAAACCTAATGTGAAGTTAGATGTTAATCGTAACAGGATTTTAAGAAAAGACGTTCCTCTAAATAAAATTTCTTAGATATTATTCACTCAGTTACTTCTCTGTAAAACACAAACTGAAGGCCTTGATTGAGCAAACAATATTAGCACTTTATTACATACGTTCTGAGCTACTATTTTCAAGAATATGACTGACTTCGGTAAGAATTTTCTTTGCTTGTACTTTAATGCTGGCATGAATTGAAGTACCTGTGAGCTCTCGGACCTTGACTAGGTGAAACAAAAGGTAGACCTCTTTCCAAAGAGGTCTCCTTCCAATGGGGGGGATTGCTTTCTGTTCAAGTTATTGAGTACATTAGTAAAGCATTTTTCTTGGATGGGGGTAAATCCTGTAATGGCAAAACCTGTGGATGAGAACCCAAGAAACAAAATGGTAAATAGAAATTTAATTAATTTCACTGTCTAACTTTCTTCCATAGATGTGCTTTCTCCAGCACCACCGCCTCCAGTGGCAAAGACAGCCAGCATTATTGAAGCTTTGAACCAGCAATCTAAACAGCAACCACCTCCTGCACAAACTAAGCCAACCCCACCACCACTGCCCCCACAACCTCCTAGTAGAATCTCTCAAAGAAAGCCTATTCCTGGGTAATTGATGTCATTTTAGTATTTTATATATTTCATATTTGTTAGTAACTTTTCAATTTTATGGTATATAACATGCAAGTCATCTATAAAGCATGCATATTTTTGCCAATTATGTGTTCTAGAGTATGGGAATGAACAAAAGGCAGACACTAAGGGAGCAGATTGCAAGGATTCACACAGTAAAAACAAGACAGCCCAGTGATTTAAGATTGTATGACTTGCGGAATATCTACAGAATGCTTAGCCATGATGGAAATAAGAAGCCACAAAGAATAATCCCTTTCTAATTCTCATCTAATAATGAAGAAGATAAAATGGGGTCTTATGTCTGATCGTGCCATTTATTGTTCACATGCCTTCTGTGGGTTCAGTTCCATTCAATATTTTCATTCATGGCAGGAGTAGAGAGATGTGGAACAGAAAATACCAGTTTTAAATTTGCAGGAAACAGTTAGGAGGGACAAGTGTACTGGAAGACAGGATTATATCCAAAGCAGCCTTGAGAAACTGGAGTAGTGGTCAAGGGAGAAGAGTGGTGTTATTCAGTAAGCAACACTTACTACTTAAGAACAATCAACTACAAAAACGAAGCATGGAGAACAGCAGAGTATGGTTAAGCACAAGTCCTTAAGAGAAGGATCTACAAGGACATAGTGAATAAAAGTAAGTCAGACGACTCATGCCGTTGTGGAAGAGTCAAAGAGAAATAGTATTGTTTGATTGTAGCCCGCAAACCATGTAAATTAATCCTTCCAATTGACTCCACATCAGTAATGCCTCAGCTGGACTACTGTGTTCAGTTTGGGGCATTGCAGTAAAATAAAGGTACAAAATAGTGAGGCAGAAACCAGGGGAGACCAGTAAGGTAATGAGAAGTCTAGAAAAGACAACCTGTAAGAAAAGTTTGGAAGAAATAAGATTCTCTTACATTTTCTGAAAAAGAAATTGTAGCATAGATACACGTCTTCAAATATGTACAAAGTGTTGGATTATGCCATTCCTTTTTACATCTCATGATGGCTCTAAAAAAGAAGACTTTCGTTTAAGTTTTAGCAAGAATAATTTAGTTAGACACTAGGGAAAGCTTTCCAAAAGTAAGCATAGGGAAATATCATAGTAACTTGTCTGAGAAGTTTTTGGATTCTCTGACACTGAAAATTTGACAGAGTACATCCTATACAAACTTAGATAGTTATAAGATACAGGGACATGTATATGTATATGTGAGAAATAATATATATGGTTGATCCTTTGTGAATTAAAGAGGTAAACAACCTTTGACCTTTGAGCTCCTTTTTTTGTCCTTTGATTGAGTATACCATACTAAGTAAAAGGGAGAAGCAACTTGCTGAAGCTTGCTGTAATGTACAGACTAATAAGGATACATAATTTTAACACAGAATTTTAAAATAGCAGTGAAAGGAATTTCAGAACTTAGGAAAAGAAAATCTGCACTACACAAATTGCAGTAATTGAACCTATGTTATTCTTCTGCCTTACCTTTTTAAATTAAATGCAACTTACGATTGGTGTAATCAAAAATACAGAAGCAAAGTAGTATTTTTAAAAAGCCGAATAGCTGTTACCAGAATATACTGAAGACATGACAAGAATTTTATAATTTGAAAAATACTCTGTGTTGTTGCATTTCAAGTTTTTGTTTGTTCTTAAATGGATGAATTTCTAACTTTCTGTACAGGACTGAGAAGTCGTCTGGCTTAACTAACAAAGGGCAGTCCAGAGGACTTGGGTCTCTACAACAAACCGGTAATGGTGATTTAAAGATGTATTTTATTGTAATTAAGCTATCATTAAAACAGCCTAAGGGGGGGGGGGGTATTTACCTTACGCATCTAAATACAGTCAGTACCAGCATTATTATTGTTTCTCTTCTTGACTGTGTAGGCCCTGATGCCTCAAGCTCTTCTGCATGAACAGAGTTGTGGGCCAATTAATGTAAATAATGGGGCCATGCAATAAGAAACAGAATCACAGAATGGTTGATGTTGAGAGGGACCTCTGGAAGTTATCTGGCCCAACCCCTCTGCTCAAGCCGGGCCACCAAAAGCCAGGTGCCCAAGACCATGTTCAGATGGCTTTTGAGTATCTTGAAAGATGGAGACTCCACAGCCTCCCTGGGCAACCTGTGCCAGTGCTGGATCACCCTCACAGTAACAACGTGTTTCCTGATGTTCAGGCAGCACCTCCTGTTTTTTGGTTTGTGCCCATTGCCTCTGGTCCTGCTTTCCAGCTGGGTGGCCACTAGCATATATTGGTGCATGGGCTTGTTTGTCCCCAGGTGCAGGATTTTGCACTTCCTTGCTCCAAATTTTCCCCAGGTCTCTGGCACCCAGGATTCCTGAAGACCTGTCTTGCTAGTAAAGGCTGAGGAGAAGGCGGCATTCAGTACCTCAGCCTGTTCCATGTCCTGTGTAACCAGATCCCCATCCACTCAGCAACGAGCCCATGTTTTCCCTAATTTTCCTTTTGATATCTGCGTATTTATAGAAGCCCTTCGTGTTGTCTTTGGCATCCCTTGCAAGATTTAATTCCAGTTGGGCTTTAGCTTTCCTAACCTCAACTAAACCCCACTCAAACAAAGGATGCATTATGAAAACTTTAGTTAGTTTACTCTCTTGTTTGCATGTGTCATAAACAAGGTAATAGACACACATTTTAGAATAGAAAAATGTGTTTCTAGTTTGAAAATCTAAAGCTCATATAGTGTCACATTTAATTAAATTGCAAATTGATATTGCTTTTTTCATTATAATGAACAGACTTCATTATTCAGAGTTCATTATTCATTCTGCACTTTTCATTGTTCAAAGTAACTACTACTTTGCGATATTACAATAATGTCATCTCAATAAAATGTCCAAAGTAAAGTTTGTGTGGATTCTGTGGTGGTTGTAGTGGAATTTCTCCTGCCCAGTTTCCCCTTCCATTGTATATATTATGTTCATAGGTTCTTACTGTGATTCTTTTTTATTTCCCCTTGATATACCCAAGGGGAATTTACTAATGACTATTTGCCATCTGTGTCAGGAGTCTCCTGTGAAGTATACAGCATCTTGATAACGATGGTCTTTACTAGGAAAGCAGGGTTCTAAAAGCACAGAGTCTGTAGTGAGTGAATGGGGAAATGGGATATTTGGTTCTGCTCTCATCTGTTTTATAGGCTTTTTTCTCTTTTAGCATATCCACAGTATTGAAGGTCTTAGGTAGTTGTCTTTGGAGAAGAAACCTTTTTTGATAAGGAAAAGGATAGAAAAATTCTGTTTAGTTATTTAGAAAGAACCATTAAAAAATGAAATACTCATGGGATATAAAATAATTTGTATCCTTTAAAGAAAAATTAATTTGGTTTCAATTTGTATCATCACTGTTACTTTTTTTTAAAGCATGCCTAAAATTTACTTGTTTTACTTACCTTAGCAGCAGGAGAGTCATCTTCTGTGTGCGAAATTCCAGTAACACAGACTGGTTCTACAACAAATATTTTGGCACATATCCAGCCACCAGCACCAATGCCAAGGAAATCACAAATCGTAAGTAGACAGTCTGGGGTTTGATTTTATTAAATCTTCCATATTCTATCAAACACACTGTTGACATAGTAGTATATCCTGTTATGGAGAAAGTGTGAGAATCATGAAAAATACAAAGCCTGTATCCTGTGTTAAACATGTGCATGACATGTCCTAAGTATTTATGAAAACTTTGCTTTTCTTGCATTTCCTATATGATAGTATGTGATTTTAAAATTTAAAAAAAAAAAAAAAAGCTAAAAAAAAAACAAAGAGAAACCAAAGAAAAAGAAGTATGGATTCTTTGCTTGTGTCCAAATGTGACCAACACAATCCACAGAATGTATGGCGTGACTTACTGAAGGTAGGTAAGTTTCATAAGTTAGTCGAGCTTGGTGAGCGAGTCACTTGTAGATCATATGTAACTTCATTCTTAAACTTGAGCGAAGTAAGTAATAAGGGAGCTTTTGTGCTTACTTTATAATGGGAGTAGATAGAGTTGTTTACATTGGTAGATCAAATGGCTTCAGACAAGACTAGTAGGAGTCAAGCTCAAAACGAAAGAAATTGGTTCTTTATGCAGTTCGTTCTCTTTGCATCTCTTCATCATGCATTCACTGGGTGGCAGGAGGGAAATCTCTTGGTAAGTACACAGAAACCACATCTGACTTGAGACATCCCTGACCAGAAGGTGATTGAAGGGTGAAGGGGAAGGCTGGAAGTATTGTGTATTCTTCTTCTCCTCCCTTCCCCAGCCTTACAGTGGCTGTTAGAAAAGAGATACTGGATTTAAATGGACTCTTGATCCAATTGTGTGGCCTTTTTATACTCTTATTTATTATTTATAATCTAGGACTGTGAATGGTAACACATATTAGTGTCAATACCTCTATTCTTACACTGGTGTAGTTAAAGGGATGTATTTCCAGATGTCAGCTGAGCTGTACATTGTGTAGTTCAGCTAGGTCTTTCGTCCTTGCTCCAATTTTATGTTGCTCTCTTGTGTGATAGACATAAAACATCCATATGCTTGATCATGACAGTATTTCTCTGCAGTAAGAAAATCATGATATAGAGAGTCCATACTTTCTGAGATGCTGTATGTGACTAGGTCTGGGCTGCTTCATGCTTTACATTCTGTGTAGGAGTGTGGTTCAGTAGGTAAATAATAAACTGAGAGGTAGGAGACATGCTGTTCCTGGCTCTGCGATTGTCTTATTAAAGGGCTGTAACAAAAAGACCTGCCTTTTTCAGTCCTCTGTCTCTCTCCCTTCATCCCTTTTTCCTTAACCATGTCTACTGAAATAGTAACTCTCCAGGACAGACCTCAGTGTGTTTGTGTGCGTAGCCTTGCACATTTGTCTTGAGCCCTTAGAACTCCTATTAGCTGTTTCTCATCTGATAATGCTGAAAAGCCACAGAGATATCTGGAGTTCATCTTGCATTAGTTGGGAGTATGAAATCTTCTGGTTTTTTGCCTCCCCTACTCTTGTTCAACCAAGTTACTGTCTGTCTTGCATCAAAATAACTTTCATGGTTTAGGCCACAATAAAATTAAATGGTCTAAGTAGCGTAAAATGGAATCTATCCCTTTTGCTTACATGATCCGAGGGAACTGCCGTATTTACTTTGTCAAGCTGTTGGACCCTGATCACAATTTCTGTTGTGTGTTCTGGGATTCAGGTGTGAGCACTGGCTACATCCTTTCAACACATCCCTTGGTTCTGAAACAGCTCCTTACCTGGCTTTCTGTATAAATTAAAGTTGTAGTAGTTTCTCTATCTCTCCTTTTTTTGTTTTATAGGACAAATTGCTTTAGTTATGAGTGAATGGGCTATCCTGGGTAGTTTCTAGGAACAGTCAGTCTCTCCACTGTTTAATATTAATTGCACATAATAGGAAGAACAAATCTGACTCTCGAGAAGTCTCGAGGGCTTCAGTAGGGTGAATTTTGTGAGACTGAGAAAATTAGCTGGATGATTTTCTTCTGTCATAGGACAGAGAAGTAAGGGAAACCTGGCTCAGGGAGTGTGTGCTATTTAAGGTGCTTTAGCTAAATCAGTCTAGCTAAAGCATCTTAGCTGAGGTTTAGTCAGGGGCCCCTCAGCTAAAGAGGTCTAGCTAGATCAGTCTAGCTAAAGTACTTTGGCTAAATTGCTCCATTTAGCCTTATACTCCAGCCTTTTTTGCTAAATCTTTACCCTGCCAGAGAATCCAGAGGCCAGCCCAGATTTAGGAAATGATTGCAGAAGTGCTCCTTGAGTAAAGAAAAAAGAGGTCTGGTTGTACATGCCCATGTAGCCAGTGGCTTGTCTCCTATATAGTGCATTTGCCCAATAGCCTGTTTTTCAGATGGAAATTCCTGATGCTTTTTTTTTTCCTTAATGTATATGTTAGATTTTTTAAACCATATTGTAGATATGTGGGAAACTTTCCTGGAAGATTTTAGTCTTCTGGGAATGGTATCTATTTTAATTTCCTTGCCTTCTAAAGAACAAGAAATACCTGTAATTACTGCACTTTGAAGTTAGTGATTATATCACTGTTGTACTGACATGAAGCTTTTCCCTCTTGACCTAAAAGGTGTTTGTGGTTCAAACTGTAACTTGACTGAGATGGAGCATCTGGCAAAATTGCTATGATGCAGTGCAAGGCTGCCAGCTCACAGGGGTGTGCCCCACGGATAGAGCCTAAGGATATGCCTGGTCTGGGCAGGTCAGGTTTTCTATACTAAAATGCAAATGGATGCTTACAGAGGAGCATAGTGATCATGCTACCTCCTTCCTTCCCCATCCACATCCCCCTTTTTCTGCATGGCGCTCAGCTCTAACAAAATGGCACATTAAGAGGCTGTTGGGCAGTACTGTCCACAGCAGAGCATTTTGCTGGTGGAGAGAAGTAGACTTGTGAATGGAGTCTCTTCTCCTCTTACAAGCTTCCTGCTCCATGGCTGACCTAACTAGAGACTGGGACCAGTCCCTGGGGGACTCTAGGATGGTGATTCTTTTCCTTATACCATCTGGAGCCTCTGTCCCAAACACCCACTGCATTAACAGACATCTCTTGACCTAAATGGCATTTACAGCTCTGCTCTGGCATCTTAGGGTAGAAAGGAGAGATTTTTGCTGGCTATGGCTGGGCAAACCGGCGAGAAGGGTGGACTCCTGGTAGAAAGCTTATGCTCTGCCTCCAGGTCCTGTGCCTCTCCACTCCTTGCATGGAAACGCTATGTAGGTAGCATTATTGTTGGTCTGCAACAGAGAACAAGGAGCAGTAGGCCAGGTTGCACCAGGAGAGGTGTGAGATTAGGATGGTGGATACTGTGATACCAGAGCAAAACAATTTTGGCATCACTTCAAATAGAACACAACTAGGATTAGAGTCCCACTGCAATATTGGAATATTGCAACTCCTTACTAAACTTTCTTACTGGAAGAATTGCCAAACCGCTCTGTCACTTGCAGTCCTCAAAACACTACAGAGAGGCAGAGGATGTTTTGGAGGGTCTGTACACTCCTGAAATGATTTTAGCAAATTAAGAAGGGGTGTATTGGCAGGTGGCTCAAGCCTCTTTTTGGTAATGCTGCTGCTGTTACACTTGCTCCATACCACTTGATCTTGATCACCCTGTCTTCTGAATAAAATCGTACTCACTACGATATATGATGATGATATAGAGCTCTGAAGACGGGTTTGGATAAGCCAAAGTGGAAGCTTGCTAAGGGAAACCTGGCCCATGTTGATGGTGCAGTGGTTCCAAAAGGCTTTGGATGCTGCCAAATTCAACCTGAAGCATGAGCACCCAGCATAAAATATGCAGCTGAACTCTAACCTATGGAAAATAACAGTTGGAAGCAGTTCTGAAGCTTTCTTTAGATCAGCTCCAAGTCTGTTTTGTCTCTTCCGCGCTGTATTATTTACATTTACTTGTTTTTATATTTCAGTCAAAAACTAAACCGAAGAGAGTAAAAGCAATTTACAATTGTGTAGCAGATAACCCAGATGAGTTAACTTTTTCAGAGGGAGATATTATTGTAGTCGATGGTGAAGAAGATCAGGAGTGGTGGGTGAGTATTCTGCATTTTCTATCAATATGCTTTGAAAGAAATAAATGAGATCTAGAGGTTGACACTGACTTCAGAAGATCCCCAGCTGGGTTTCTAGATAACAAGAAAAGTTTCATCTCATGTAAACCTGATTCCAGAAATTTATTTTGTTCAAAAAAATCAAACCTCAAACTTTTTTTTTTTTCTAAATGAGAAAAGCTAAATCTGATTAGTAGGGTTCACAATATACAGGGAACATGGTCTGTGTGATTCAATAAATTCTTGAGGGGTGTCAACAATTTAAGAATCTGCTGCTATTTCAGATGCTGTGTGGTGTGCCTCAGAGGACAGCTTTGTATTGTCCTAATTCTTCAGCTGACTGAGATTGAGAAATGGTCTATTTGAGCTGGGAAACCATCTCAACTGTTTACATTCCAGAGTCTTATCAGCTAAAGCAAAGTCTTGGGAAATTGTTGTGCATGAAAACAGTTGCCTTTGTTAGCTAGCAAAGAATAGAACTTCCAATTGCATCTAAATTGACAATAATGCTGTATAAACACAAATAGATTTATGTAAAAGCCAAAACTGTTGAAGCTTGATCCATCCTTTTGCCTTTCAGTGATTGTTAAGAGGGGGAAGCAGAAGCAACTTAACAGAGGCAGAATATGGGCTGCCAGGCATTACAGAATGCACTGAAATGGTGCAGCAGTGATACTGCATTAAGAGGTGTTACTTTCAAAGAACTGGATAAAACATTGGAATTTGAAGGAAAAAAAAAAGTCTATAGCTGAAAAACAAATGCACCCTGTAGGACTGAATTCCTGTTCACAAAATTAAAACACCACTACCGTAGAAAAGATGTAAGGAGAGGCTTGTACTACAGGCAGGAAGGTCGCTGGTATTCATTTTGGTGATACTGAAATGCCATTTTGAGATTAATTTGAAAAATATCTGGACTCTTTCAGATTGGTCATATTGATGGAGATCCCAGTCGGAAAGGAGCTTTCCCTGTATCATTTGTGCACTTTATTGTTGACTAAATTGCTACTGATAAGTGAAGACATTGCTCGTTTCCAGCGGTCACAGAAATAAGTTTTACTCTATTGCATTTCATCTACCTATCTGCAGACACCTTGCTAGAGCACTGCTCAAGTCCTAGGTACTGTAGCTTACTTTTTTATTGCCATCATTCTGATTTTGGGACTTCTAAAACTTTTTTTCTATGTGAAAACTTCTCATGAGCAGTTCACACTTTAAAAAAACAGCTCTTCCTGTATTTTTCAAGGTGAACTTAAAAGCTTTAACAATCAAAATCATATGTGTATGAACATCACAACATTATGAATGTTCTTTTCCATCAATTCACTGTAATTTTATTCTCCCTTTTGTAACATGACAATACCACAGTTCAGTGTTGCTTCCCCAGTCAAAGAAATTGTGTGCGTCTAACAGGGCAGTGAATTTATCCAATTCTCGATACCATTTGAAGTGTTGGAACCAAAACATGCAAGCTGCTGCGTAGTTCTAAATTGGACTGTTTAGCATCTTGCCATACTGGTTGTCATCCAGAATGTCAACAATTACAGAAGAAACAATTTTAATCGGGTGTCTTTGGCCAGGTAAAAGTAAAAAAGTATTTCAGTTTACCACAGGAGAAACTTCTTTCTTTCAGAATGGATGTAGATATTTGCTTAAAGTTATCTGAAATCTGTGTTAGTCGTTGAACGTTCTAGTTCTAATTTTGTGAGCTTGAGACTGTTTCATTTTTCTATGCTGCATGTGTGTAGAACCTGTTTTTTCAATGTTCTTTATGTATGTTACATCCATTTTGGTCATTTAATGTGACTACTGCTGGTTAACTAAACTATGGCAATATTAATGAGTTACTACATTAACTCAAGGATATGAAAACTGCACTTCCTGAAATGTACTTAACTATAATGATGGATTGCAGAGCATTTCTTACTCGTCTCATTATATAGCATTTAGACTTTGTTTTTAAATTCTTGAATTTTCTTAAATCATACAGCAATGTGTTCACAGAGAGAACATATTGGTGGAACATTTAGATAATTATCCTTGGTCAATAAGGTATCTGACACCTCACAAGTACACCATGTTATGTTCTGTTCTATAAAATTTGTGTGCCACTACATTGCAAACAATGATAGTTTGCTCACTCACTCTGTATTTATATAATATACCCACATATATGGTAGCTACACTGTTGTTAAATTTGTTTTACTAATTTGTGAACAAAGGCTAGGCCATGGGTAGTTCCCAGTTGGTTGATGGAATACAAAACACCAACACAAATCTGACGTCGTTTTGATGTTTGTATATTGTGAAATTGTACCAGGTTTTGCTTATGCTACAGGAAACAACTGATGGCATAGGATAAGAAAAATCAATGACTAGGTCACATTGGCTTTGATCACGTTTCGTGAATATTTTATCTCTAGATTTATCAAGAGAACTTTGAATTTCTGACAAATGGTGTTTAAATTCGCCATTTCATATTGAACGGAATGGAAAATAGGCCACCACCATATATATGCTTATTTGGAGAAATATCACATTGTGTTAGTGCTGGAAGAGCAAAACTGATCTTACCTTGTATCGCCTTTCCTAAATGGTACAGTTGGCTGATAGCCTCTCAAATGTGTGGGTACAGCCAAGTATATGCATAACTTTCATTTCCTAGATGCTGTTGCTGCAGTAATAAATGGGGAACAAACTGGAATGTTTCAAGATATTTTTGTTGCAAGTTGAAGCAAATTAGTCTGTATTTTCAAAGTTCCCAGTAAAATGATAGATTAATAGTTTAGCACTACAGTTTATTCACTTACTGATATGTTCAGTTTGCAACACTATTTTGTATGTTTCTATCCCTGATAGAGAGTAAATGGGCATATTATTTTGCACAGATCTCCTAATGTACAGTATTTTTAACACAGAATCTTATAGTGTATGTAACAACTCATAAAGTTAAACAATGATGCAAATTTTCCTTGAGTTCTGCTAGAAGAGGAATACACTTTAAAATGTCACAGCCTTGTTCACTGGTCACTTAGAAACTAGGAAACTTGTAGAATACAACTTAACAGCACTAGCAGTGCAGACAGACAAATTCTTGAGGACCAATAAAGAGTGGCTAAGCAAAATTTATCCCTAGATTTTCCATGTTTCTCAAAGTCTGCTCCTCTGGCAGAGGAAAAAGAAATTCTAGAGCCTGTAGATATCTATTTATAATATAAAATTAAGAATTTTAAGTCCAAAATTTTGGCATATTTCATACAACTTTTCAAATCTGATTAAATAGTGATTCAGAAAACCTGTTAATAGACAGACTATTAGGTTGCTGTGTTAACTGTTTAAAAAGGAGCAAGTGACACTTAAAATGCAGCTTAGAATGCTATGAGATGTATAATATTCAATTCAGTTGTTTTTATTTTGTTTAGTTGCAGAGCAACTGTATATATTGTATAACCTAAAATCAACTCTTATTTTCAATGTCCTGGATGCAGTGATTTATAATTAGAGCATGATTAATAAATTTTACTCTTGTTAACCAGTCAAATGTCTGGAAAAATAAAACTACTTTTAAAATCCCTTTGGCTACTTCTCTTCTGTTACTTGGCATTGCTTAGGCAATATTCTTTTTTTCAAGGTGTAAAATGAGAAATACCAACAAGTAGCACTTGAGCAAAAAGAAGGTGCATCTTATGGATTTTTAGTTGAACACAAACTCTGTAGATGTCAGCTAAGATTAAATTAGAGGTGTAAAGCACCAAATGACTACCTGTTATCACTTTGCTCTTGTTTTGTTCTAATACCTAGGCTAAGCAATACTGAAGTCTATATTAACAAATTGTTTTTCAGACAAAGAGATAGAAGTGTCAGTTTTATTTTACATTTCTACAATATTGACATTAATATACAAAACATGATTTAGGAAAAAAATTCATGTTAAATATAAAATTCTGTGTTGTCTTGGAAACTGAAGATGGAATAATTTCTTCAAGTCATGATGGGTGGGGAATGACAAAGTACCATGTGCAAGGTTGTATGTAGCTACTGCTAGTCTGTGGTATCACAAAGGAGCCCCATTCCCTCCTCACACAAAGGCCTCTTGTACTACACAGTCACGTGCTGCTGAAGAAAATCAGGACTTCTCCGACATTAGAACTGAATCAAAGGCTGTAGATAACACTTTGCAAATAGCTTGTGCTTGTTCCTAAAAAAATCCAAACATTCACATTAACACTTTCTGAAGAACTTCTGAGCGTCTCAAAACTCATTTAAAGGAGAATGTGACCTTTATCATTCTTTTGGCAGAGACATGCAAAATGGAGTAGCACAAGTGAGATTTAATTTGATTTCTGTGGTCTGCAGTGACATGTGGGAAGCTGTTTTAAATGAGCTCTTTTGAAACAAGTCAGAGTTGTTAGCTTTCAACACAGCATGACACTAGCATTCAGAAAGTCAGTTTGTGTGTTCCCCCAGTGCTGCTAAGGGTGTGTGTCACATCATAGCACCTTGACAATGAATTCTCCTACTCATAAGAAGGGATCACTTCCCTTGCTTATGAATATGCATGCATGCTCTACTACCAGAATTGTTACTCAATCCCTCCCTGCTCTGTCCGATCTTAAGAGATTTTTGTCTTTGAAAATACAAACGGAGGATTGTACTTGGCAGCTACAATACTAGTCTTTAGATTGCAAAGAGCTTTCTCAGGCATGTACTTTCACTGGCAATTTTAGGGAATGTAGGTATTTTTCCTCAAAGCTGATCAAATGCAGTCAGCAGGGCTTTTCTCCCCTCCTCAGCCAGGGCACATTTATACTCTTTCGTTTTAATTGAGCAATCCCCCTTCTGCCAAAAAGCCTTCACAAGGGCCTAGAATCTCCCTTTACAATCAAAATACTGATACCTAAATTAAATACTATAAACATAAACTCTTACCAAACTATTGCACTGATATACCCAGAGGCTGCATTCTTCAGAGGCTGCATCTGTTGTCTTCAAAGCCAGTAAACTTTTTCCTGCTCCCAGACCATCATCATAGCAGACCATCCGTACAATTAAATAGAGAGCATGCCTATGTAACACATCCTGAAACCATGTGGCAAATAAAAGTTACTCTGGAACAGTGCAACAGCTATTTCAGTTTTCCACCTGTTTTGATTCTCTCACAAAAGAATACTTCAGATTTATTTACAAAAGAAAAGTATTCCTTGGTAAACTTATAATTTTTTAATTGAGAGTTTAGTCAAGATTTAAAAAAATAAGTGGTAGTTTAACACAATTTTAGCTTTAATTTTTGCTTCTATATTAGAATTGCATTCATATGTGGACTATATTACTGCCCATACTAAAAAAACACACATTCGTTTCCCACCTATCCTCACTTGCCCTCTGTGAGTAGGACAGGCAGTACACTCTACCTCTGGCACAGAGGTAACTTAAAACAACTATTACTTTTCCAGTATTTTTCCAGACAGTCCCATCTCAGTTCCGGGAAGGGTACAGGCAAGAAACTGTTCCCAGAAGAGGGTATGGACAAGGTTAGTTGCTTTGGGGCAGGAGGGGTGTGGGGGTGTGGGGGTGTGGTAGCCATGTGGCCTGAGCCACAGCATGGGTCCTGACTCTTGCAGAGATCTAGCCTGGGAAACTTGCTGCTCTGCACCGCAGTTGCAGGGTTTCACCATAGTCCCAACAGTTCTGATCTTGGCCATTCCACAAAAGGAGTGGCTGATGCCCCATACAAGGTCTCTGCAGACCTATGCTACACAAAGCCTTTCTTCTCAAGCCATCCCACCTAACCATTAATATTCATCTGGTTTATTCCAGTCATACCACTTCTTGGGTCTTATGACTTCAAGACAGCTCTTTTTCTATGTTCATAGCATTGAACACCTTGTCCCTATCAAGAGCTGAAGGGTCTGAAGAAATGTCCACTTTGATAGAGAAGCTGTAAAAATGGACAGCGAGCTTGATGCCTGCTATGAAACCCTCAAGGGAGAGCCCTCTACCAGAGCTCCTGAGATCACCTTGCTGATCTCCATCCCTGACATTCACTCAGCAATTGCTCACAATTATTCATACCATCACTAACTACCATACCACACAGAAGGCAGTTGGAGCTGATGTGGGACTTACTGGATCAAGGAAAGATGCCAAGATTTCCGTCCAAATTACTTGTAACTTCTTAAAGTTACTTGCTTGGAACTTGCTACAGTGCTAATGTGCATGTAGATTGTCACTAAAAGAAGGAAGGATAGCATTCTTTAAAGTACACAGTCCCCCTTAAATTAATTTCCTGCCCTTGTTACAGTATGTGGCTATGAGGGGATTCTGCAGCTGAGAGAAAAATGAGATGGCAGATGGACACACTGTGCCATAGGTGTATGTACATATATATAACGTACAAATACACACAATCGGAATGTGAAGAAGGCCAAAGCCTCAGTGTGACTTCTATAAATGCTTCGCCTTTGGTTTCTAGTGGTTGCATCCACAAACACCAGAAGTGTATGAGTGAATTACATATCTGTACATATTTCAGTCACTAATGAAATAAATAATTTCTCAAATGTTGGCTGAAATCCATGAGGAAAAATTTTGTATCCTGCAATCATTCTCTTTTTTGGCATCTGAAATAAATAGCTGCCTATTCACCTGCAAAGGTATCTACAAATCACAGAACTCTCACCTTTCCCCCAAAGTCATAAAAGACTGAATTCTTTGTACAAATGCAGAGAAAACCTTTTCATCTTGGAACTCTATGAAAAGAGTTAGGTGGACTAACACAAGGACAAATTAAATGTCAACAGTGACACAGATGCAAAAAGCCAGAATTTGGGAAACAGAATGCAATGCAATAAAATGCCAGTGCAAGCTAGCTTAATCACAGGCAGCTTTATCAGCTTGTGCATGCTTTCAGCTTGAAGACAGAAGAATGATGGATAAAAGTCTTAAAATTACCTATTTGATCTTTATCAAAGTACAAAAGAATTTAAATAATAGTGTAACCTATATTCTTAATGAGAATTAAGAATTTAGGAGCACAGTAAGAACAGAACCCAAAAGAATTCAAAGTTTGAGTAACAACTACGACACTTCCTCCCAGGCATTAGAAACAAGTGTTTTATTTTCTGAAGGGACCAAATGAAACTTTTTGGCTCCCTTCAGAGTATTCAGCTATTGAGCAATGCTATTCACTTTCCTCATTCTCAAAGCTTTTATGAAGAGGCATTGCTGGGTTGTTGATGGGTCATGACTTCACAAGGCCAAGTATTTATGGTATCTGGGGCTCTGAGGGCAACCAGAAGGAAACCACATGGCTGCAATACAAAGCTACACAAAGGCAACTGGAGGGCCCTGGGGAAGAGACTGGATTTTTATTTTTAGCAAAAGAGCTACTTGAAGTGTGCTAAAGGAAAATAAACTACACGTAGGAAATGATGCAAACAAAAAATATGCTTGATCAATAAAGTGGAATCATGAACTCCCACTCTTGAATTAGGAGTGCAAGGCTGGAACTTTAAAGAGGAAGACAACTCAGGTATTCTTGAAAAAAACATCCTTTGTTTTTTCCTCTTGACAATAACATCAGCAGGAATTGCATTACTAACTCAGGCTGAGGAACCTGTGGTCTTGGCCACCACAGTCATGCTACTTCTCCATGTGAGAGAATGGCAGAACAGCCACAGAGGAAGGAAGATGTGCCCAAAGAGCATAAAGGCTTGCTTGCCTTTTGTCTGGTGCTCTATCTCAAAAGGAATAGACTTTTGTCATAAATCCAACCAATCCAACCAGGAAAATACAGACAGCCCTGAGGAGATCCGACACGAAGCTGTCAGAGCTTTTTTGTTCGTTTGTTTAACTTTTGCTTAAAGCCAGAAGTGACATTTTGGTCACACAGATCATCTATCAGAGAAATAAGTAAAAGCACTTTTCAACTCTCACCAAAAAGACAGTTTGCTGCAAATCACTTACATACTGATCAGATGTTGAAACTTTAATGCCATATTTGGAAACTCCCATAATAAACTCCTCTTCACCTGGAACAAAAGGTAACTTTCCGTCTTGCTTTGGAGGGAAACAAACAAAAGCCTTTAGTGCAGACAGAAGAACATGAACAACAGATACATAATAGAAAATGGGTTTATGTGTACTTTAGTCCACTGGATCAGAAACATCACTAACCCTGCTTGTATCTTGCTGTGTGAAGTCTGCCTGCGACTCTTGCACTCATCCAATCTCTTAACATTATGTGAGATACATTCAGGGGAGGCTCAGAGGCTTAGACTGGACATCAGGAAGCATTTCTTTACCAAGAGGGTGGTCAAACACTGGAACAGGCTTCCTAGAGAGGTGATTGATGCCTCAAGCCTGTCAGTGTTTGTGAGGCATTTGGACAATGCCCTTAACAACACGCTTTAACTTTTGGTCAGCCCTGAAGTGGTCAGGCAGTTGGACTAGATGACCGTTGTAGGTGCCCTCCAACTGGAATAGTCTAGTCTATTCTAATTCTAAATATTACATGATTCCAGAAATAAATTTATCATCTCAGGGGAGAGTTTGGTACTCTGGTCAAATCAGATGGGCTGAAAAATAATGCATGCCCTGTCATGATGCGCTGACCCTGGGTGATCTATGTTCCACACTGGCAGCAATTTTGTAATTGTGCTGTAAAAATAGTTTTAGCATATATTCAGATACTTGAAATGTCAAGTTGCTGTAAGATAAACAGACATTCTGTGCTTTTAAAGCTACAAATGATCAGCTACCTAATGGCAACGACCAGTTACGGCTTTTAGCACAAAAATAAGCATAAGCAACCACAGTTTGGCAAGGGTGACCCAAATATTATTCAGGTTCTTTGGTCAGAGGTTCATAAGTGATTGTAAGCAGAAACTTGACATTTTCCTCTATGGGAAAACCTCTACAGTACTGAGGAAATCTGGAGGAGATATTCTTTCCTGGTTACTAATCCTAGCAGTGCTGAAGACAATATTAACAACTTTCAGTTGGGATACTTGTTCAGTAGTGACTCATCAAAAGGGCCTTTGCTCTGAGCCTGCTTCTTCAGAACAGCTTTTTGGATGCATCTTCTCCAGTTGCTCAATAGGATGGAATTGAGCGTGACAGGTTTTGAGATTCATAGCTTAATGTTTTTTAAAGTAAGCTATTTTATTCTACTAAGTCTAAAATTTACAAAGAAATATGTTAGATCTCATGATAATATGAAAGAAATATACCTAAGCTTAAGATGTTCTGACGTTGCTGGTATTGTCTTTTGTAACCCACTTACCTGTGCAACATCTATGTAATTTATCAAGTCCAATGGCCCTTCCAGACTTTTGCTCTCATTATAGTTCAATTTTTCAATGGCACCAACATATTTAACTCTGAATTCTGCACAAGTATCAGAATTACTATTGCTTTGTCCTGCAACAAAATAAACCAAAGCAATTCTGAAGAATTCCAGAACAGTAATGCTATTCTAATTGGTGTTAATGAGGCTAACTTACTAAATTCCATAATTTTTGCAGACTTTCATCAAACACTTAACCTTACCACAGTATATTAATTCCTCTCTTTAATGAACTGTCCTGGGTTGATTCAGAACAGCCCTTGGTAAAGGCAACAGTTTCGTATGAATCCATAATACAACACTGTTTATACTAATTAAAATTTGGAGTTAACAACCTTGAATCAGAAAAGATAGAAAAGCTGGTTCTACTTTTATATATATATTTGTTTTAAATGAACTGTTTGGTCCAACAGTGATGCGCTGTCATCTGTTGAGCAAGAAGAAGTAAAATTAAATCTTACTTCCATTATTTCAGTGCAAACGTAAACTCACAAAAGCAGGAAACATAGCTTCCAGAAGATTATACCAGATTTAGGCTGTGTAACAGACTGGTAATGCAACTAAGTTTTTCTTACTCAGACACTTCACTTCGAAAACAGTGACTTAATCCTAAATGAACCATTAATAATACTTTAAAAACCTAGAGCTATGCATGAATTAGTCAACAGGCTAACAGATTCACTCACAATTATTGAAAATACATACTTTAACCTTTTCCATTTTCTGCTCTTTTATACAAACACACATAAAGTTAATACTGTTCCTTATCTGCTCAAACTCTGATTACATACCTGAACTTTTTGTGGAGTCGGTATCTAGACTAGCCACAGTACTAGACCTGGAAAGTCCCCCAAGACTGGAATCTACAGACTAAGAAAAAAATTCATATCATCAGAAAGTTACTGAGAACATAGTAACAATTCACTTTTATATGCCCTGCCTAAACTCTTTTTTTTTTTACACAAACTAGTGTTTATGTTCTAATTACTTAAGCAGCACTGCAAAATGGGGAGAAAAAAACACCACCACCTATTTCTTTCCTGAAGTTATCTTTCTGCCTCATTGTAGATTAGACTGATACAAATTCAGCAGGAACCCCTGAGAAGTCCACAAATATTTTGAAAGGAGGAGGAAATAAAAGAAAAAGAGAAAATGAACCTTAAGGTTATGTCCAGACTTTTCTGGTACTGCATCTTAACTTGAAGAAATTGACAACTATATGCTTGTCACCAATGCTTGAAATAACATAGCAGTGCAAGGGAAGTGAAACGGCACCTTGGAAAATCCAGAATATTCAACTGATCATTCCAAAACCTATCAGACAAAATGGACACATTATTCAAAATGAAGAATACTTTTTAGAGATACTGAGTAACCAACTAGTACTGAAGAATAAACTCATTCCTGGTACCTAGCACCAGGCACCTTCTTAAAGACAATATTAGCACAGAACAAACATACTACATTTTCCTCCAAACCTTACTATGTGCTGCCAGAAACTCTTGTGTTTGTGGGCTTCACTATGGAAGCAATCAAGCATTCATCTCAGAATACAAGGGCTTTATAACGAATAGGGTTTTTTAACTCTCATAAAACAACCTGAGGAATAGTAGAAGTAGGAAGTTCTCCTAGTGCAACATGGCATTTTATGGAAATCACATCCTACCATCAGTGCAAGCAAACCACTGAACTGTCAACTTGTGCTTCCATAAACAGAGTATATACCAAATTCAACTTACCTTGCTTTTAGTACTGATTTCACTGCTTTGTGAGCTGCTGCTGCTGTGTCGTTTTTTTCCTTTTCTAAACATTTTTTCATAATTGGATCAAGGAAGATATTCTAGGTAGGAAAAATAAAAATTAAAGCTGTCATATCATCAAGAGAAGGAGTTCCTGGCAAACAGCAGAGGGACTGTATCCAAAGTGGACAAAAACTGGAAACTTGTGAAGGACTCTGAGAATGGAAGTAGGAATGTTCCTCTGGTGCTCTTCATGTGTGACTGGGAAAGGTCCCTCAAGCTCTCTGCTAAAACTTCTCCATCCTTTTGATTAATCAAAAAAATCCTGCCACCCAGTTTACAGACTATTGCAAAGGTCAGTTTCTAATGCGTATAAAGATACAGATTTAGAGGCAAGACAAAATTTAAAATGTATATTCCCACTTAAAAGCATTAGATTATTTTTATTTGTAACTACAACCTAAGTGCCCTACAAAGTGCATCCAATGCAATCCCTCCTCCAGAGATTATGCTCCCATTTAAAAAAAGATGAACCCCCAAACCCCTGCTTCTGAAGAACTACTAATTGTAATACTTCTAGGAGAAACCATTACTACTTAACATGTTCCTGAAACTTAAAGCAAAAAGCATGTTACATGTACTGCCTTAGAACTGAGTTACTGGGAGTTCTGAGAGTATTCCAGAAACGTTTTTTCCTCTATCCACCCTACTACTTCACTTGCTGCACTTAACATTTGGCCAGCCAGTGTCAAGAAGCAGGATGCTGGCTCCCAGTCAGGAAGTGCTGAAACCCTATTTCCCAGCTTCAGAGAATATTTTAATTACAAAGCTTCAGAAATTTTGAGCAGATGAAAGAAAGAGCACAAAGGAGGAAGACAGCTCACACTGCAGAAAATAATGGAAGACGCATAAGGGGAAGCTTGGACCTGCGATGCAGTGCTGGACTACAAGTCCCCAGACCGCTGCTGTGTTGGCCATGAAGCAAACACCTGGTCCCTGGCAGACCAAAAGCCACCCTCAGCCACAAGGGGTGCAGCAAGGCACCGCGGTACCCTGCACACCCACGTCCCTCGGGGCTCCTTCCAGCCACCAGCACGGAGGGGCTGCTGCTAGAACGCAGGCAAATCCGCTGGTTCTGCCGGTCGTCTCTGAGGAAGGCACAGCTCAACACTCGCTACTTCGCAAGCTTTTTTAATACGAGGCGCGGAGAAGCTAGGCCGGGTAGCACCGCATCCCGCGTTTTGTTCTATCTCCTTCCCGTTCGATACCTCTATCCCCAAACGATAACCCGATCAATGATAAACCGGTAAACCCTCTTCCCACAGAAGGGCGAGAGGCCGAACCCCGGGGGGCTGGTGGACGGCAGGAGCGCGGCCCCCGTCGCAGCAGGCGGCAGCAAGCGGCCGTTTGCCCGCTCCCCTCCCCCGCCTCCGGGGGACGCTTGGCGTCAGCCCCTTCCTCCCAGCGCCGCCGCCGGCACCTCAAGGACCGCAACAGCCGGGC